TAAAGGGTAAAATATGATTCAAATTCAAAAGCAAATGAAAGAAAATGCAATTATTTGTGTCCTTAAGATTTAGATTTTGTGTTGTTACTCATGCTGAAATCTGAGATAAAACTTTTCTGCTAATAAAACCATTCTTTCTTCACTCAGAAAACTACCTTATATAACTAATTTTTATTTTCTCCTTGCTTAATTCATCTGGGGTATTTCCCAGAAGGAAGTTAGATAAACTGATCTCAAACAAGACAGAGAGGCCTGGAGTACAAGTATAGATAGGAAATTCTTCAAGGTAAATTTTGGGGTGGAAAAAGAATGGTTTTATTAAGAGATTAAATAGGAAAATGATAACAGGCCCCCTTATCTTCAAATCTTGCTTTCTTATGGTGCCAAAAGAAATCTATGTAAGACTTAAATTCTACCACATTGTTCTTTGCCTTAAAGTCTGAGAGTGATTTAGATCAACTAGAAAATAAAGTCCAAGCTCAGTTTCAACTTTCACCCAACTTTCTATCACATTTCCAATATCAGCAACATGAAGCAAGTAGCTCTTTTCAGCACCTATTAACTCGTTACTATAATGCCTTTGATCTCATGAGTGGTCCCTTCTCTGTGTTAAAATTTTCTCTTTTCTCCCTCAACTTTACTGCCTCCACTACTGTCATGTACCTTGTCAACAATGTCTCTCTCTCTTTTTTTTTTTTGTACTGGGAATTGAACCAGGGATGCTTAACCAGCCATATCCCCAGTCCTTTTTAATTTGAGACAGTGTCTCACTAAGTTGCTTAGGGCCTTGCTACATTGCTGGGGCTGACTTTGAACTTGTGATCCTCCTGCCTCAGCCCCTGGAACCACTGGAATTATAGGCGTGCCCCACCATGACTAGCAAGATGTCATTTTTTGACATTTGTCTCAAAGGTCCTCTCCCCCAGTAAGCCTTTCCTGATCCAACAGGCTGTGGGAGTTATCTATGAGTTCCTATAACATCTGATGAATATCTTCATGATACTCTTTACACATTACAAGTATAATTGATACCACCAGTTATCAGTGATGAGTTTTGCTTCCTCACATTTTGAAGTTTGAATATTAGAGAAGCATGCAAGGGCAAGCATATAAAGCAGGGTTTATTTTTAAAAGGGGTAAAATAGACTTCTCCTGGGAGGGAGAAGAGGGCATAGCTGGTATCCTGGTATCCCAAGAAATGAGGTGTTCTGCCCTTTTTATGTCCTAGGCTTCCTTTGTTGTCCTGCCTTCTTCCCCTTATCTTTTTCCCTCCTGCTTACATGACTAGGCCCAGAACTAGGCCCAGGAATGCTTGGTGGGATGGCCAGAAGGTGGGAAACTGGTGGGCTGAAGGAGGAAGGGTAGGATGGTGTTGCCCAGGACACAATAATTAACAACTGTAGGGAGGGGAAATTCCTGGGACAGGTTACCTTGGCAACAGGTTGGAGCAGGGGCAGGTTCTTGATAAGGGTGGAAGAAGGGCTCTGATGGAAATAACATTTCAATCCCTCAGGGAACAGTGTCTAACTTCCTTGGACTCAATCAAAATTGGCCCCCTTGATCAGTCCTAACTCGATTTACCTATCTATACTGACTGCCTAATTTTGGTTTCATAATTACCTAGTTTATTCCTTGAATTCCATGGAATATCTTCAATTTTTTTTATATCCAGAAAGTAGTCAATGTCAGGCATATAGTACGCACTCAGTAAAGATTGAATTAAAGAATCTAATTCATTCAGTATGCACTCACCAAATATTTAATGAGTGCCTAATAAATGCAGACCTCAGTGCTAAGAACCAAAACAGATAAAATCTTTGCCTTCATGTCTTAAACTACATAAAGCTATTCATATTCCCTTTTTGTTGCTGCTGAAAAAAATACTACTAATTTACTGACTTAAAACAACTCAAATTCATCTGTCACATTTCTGCTGGTTCCTCTGCTATTGGTGTCACAATAATGAAAACAAGCTGACCTGGGCTTTTAATTGGTGGCTCCACAGAAAAATAAGCTTTCAAGGTTATTTCGGTTGCTGTCAGAGTGGAGTTCCTTGAGGCTATAGGACTGAGTGTACCTTTTCTTGATGGCTTTCAGGTAGAAGCCTCTCTTTGGGTCACCTACATTTCTTATCAACTTGCTTCCTGCCTTCCCCCACACCTCCTTTCTTGAATATCTCTGACTTTCCTTCTGCCACGTCTCTACTATTTTTAAGGACCAAACAGATTAGATTAGGCCCCCAAGAATAATACAGGATAATTTCCTTTCTTAAAATCTGTAAAGTCAATTACATCTGCAAAAGTCCCATTTGCCATAAAAGCAACATATTTATAGGTTCCAAGGATTGGGCAAGTGCCTTTTTGTTAGATGCCATCATTCAGTTTACCACAATGACGATAATTCTGGAGTATTTTCTAGCTTATCCTTCACTTGGGTAATCTGGAGAAATATTTTACAACAATATGACTAAATTTATTTTGTCTACTGCACTAAGTTTTGCTTCAACATTAAAGAGACTAGAAGTTCTCTGAAGAATTATTATGAACTGATCTTAATAGAAAGAGGGATTGATATAGAGGAAGGAAACAAATCTAAAATTAGATAACAAAATCAGTAAACCTTGTAAATAAATATGAGCACATAAATAAATGATACAGGAGCAATATGAATGTCTATTTTACCTAGCTACAGAAGACTATAGGGTTAAGCAATTACTGTACTTATCGTTATTCCAAATATGGATAGTTTTCTGAAGGAATTGGTCTGCTATTAACACACATAATAATCTTCTATTTTTCATACTACAAATTTTGGGGGGTTAAAAATAAATAAAATTATCTTTCCCTCTCAAATTTTGCCCAACACCAAAAAAAAAATCATAAGTGGATTTTATTTTCCATTTTCAACTTTTCAAACTAATAACCTGAATAAAATTAATTCAGTTTAATTATGCAGAAATTTAAAGTATACTATTTGTTGGGGATTATACTAGATCCGGAAGACACAAATATAATTTCCTTACAGTCCATGCTTGTATGATGCTTGCCTACATATAAATGAATACATTACAATACTGTGCAGCCAGGGCAATAGTAGAAGCAAACACAGGCAGAAGAAATGATTTACTCTAGGAAACAGTAAGGTAAGATTTTTCTGGTTGAAGGACATATAAATCATTAGAAGAGGGAGGAAGGGAAGCTGAGCCAACAGCATTGATGGAGGCACTAAATATGAAAAAGCTCAGTATTTTTGTAAGTATAGGTGTAGCTGGAGGGTAAAGTAAGAGGCAGTGAGTGGGAAAGTGAAGCCTGGAAGACTGCAGGATCAGAGACTATCTTGCCCTTTTGGTTTATTCTATGACATGCCAGAAAATATTTTTTAATCAGGGAGAATACATAATTGGATTTGAAGTTTTGAAAGATTACTCTGGTTGCACAAAAGAGACTGGGCTAGAGGTTAGTTACTAGCTGTAAAACCAGTTTAGATGAGATTGATGAGTGAGGATGAAAGCCTAAACCGAGGAGGTGAAAATAATATAAAACTGAGAAAAGATGCAAGAGGTTCTACAGTGAGATTCATCAGACTTCATGACTAATTAAAGGTAGGTGGTGGGTAAGGCAGGTCAAAAAAGAAGGAGGAGGAGTTGAGAGTTACTTGGAAATTTCAGGGAAAAAAATCTGGATATTTGATATTATCTGATTAAACTGGAGAATGAAGGAAAACAAGGGGAAAGAGTATGATGACAGATTCTTTTCTTATCAAACGTTAGTTATGCTCCTCTGATCCCTTTTCTCAACTAGGCCTCCGCCTTTGGCCCCGGCCTCATACCTACCTAAATCCAGTTTCAGCAGGAATCCTGTAAGTCAACTTAGAAAGACTCTTCCATCCTGTAATTGATTTCTGGTCATCGGTATGCACCTTCAGCAAGAATCCTGTTAACCCATTTTAGCAAGAATGTACCTGCCTCTTGATGTCACCTCTTAGTAATTTTCAATCCACTGACCAGTCACTTTGCTCATTGACTCTAAATCCCAGCTGTCTTTGTGCTTAGATCAAGCTCAATTTCTCCCTTACTGTCTTAACACCTATTGCAGTAGTCCTATATCGTCTCAATTTATGTTTTAGCAATGCCAAAATAGTATTTTCTTTAAAAATGGGAAAAAATGTCTCAAGTACTAAAGTTATTGCCACTCTCCTCCATGTTTGAATTTGTGGTGTACATCTATTAACTACTGTGTAGCTAAATAGTCTAGTTTGTGTACTGCTGGGATTTACCAGGCATTATGATGTACATAGTCCAGCCATTTGTGCCTCAAGGGCCTAGGAAGTTGTTTTCTCCTCCTTAAGTTTTAAAAAATACTATCAGTTTAACACACTAAAATTTGGCAGCTCATATAATCCCCTTCCTAAAGGACTTTACAATAATCTTACAGCGTGCTATAGCATCGACACTCTTGAGAAGGCTATTGTTGAAGGTGGAATTTAACAGTTTTGATAGTTAACACTAGACCTGCTGTGGGTTCTAGTTTGCCTACTTGATACACATAAAATGTCAGAATTCGAAAGCAATGTCTTAACCACGGGAGGGACCGAATCTGCTAACTTCCAACAATATATGTGAAAGTGCTTTTAAGTGACATTTCGTACGGGTGACTCAAAAGCAAGTCTGGACTCTATTCTGAGATCGGACACCGCGCAAAACCTGTCACCCTCAGCTCCAGCACCCAGACAAGACCATAATGCCAATACGCCCCTTTGCCAAGCCACGCCTCTCCGGAAGCACGCACGCGTGCACACCAGCACCGCTGCCGCGGCTTTCAAAGCTAGCGCTGTCACGCTCTATTGCGCATGCCTCAGGGCGGGGACGAAACCGCTATTGACCCGGAGGGCAAGTGCCGGTGGGAGGCAGAGGAACAGCACGGTGTCGGGCGGGTAGACCCGAACGGCCTGTGCGTCACTTCCGCTGGGGCGGGGCGGAGCTGAGTGGGTGGAGCTCCGGCTGCTGCGCTTGTTTGTGCTGGAAGCTCAGCTGATGCGGGCCTGCCGGAGTAGATGTCAATGCCGGGAAGAGACCAGTATCCACAGTCGCCTGTGATTGCGGCCTGCATCCCGGTAAGTGGCCGCGAGATGATGGGGACGGGATGAGAGGCAGGCTGGTGGCTCCGGGCACTTGTCTGCCTACGGAGTCCTCCTGTCTCTCTATCCTGGGCACTTCAGAGTCAGGGGGTGGGGAGATGCCCGGTTTCGTGGAGGTCCCAGCATCCAGGCACCCTGTGGCAGCCGGGTACAGAAGGGGCCGCGGATCCCGGGGCTGATTGGTGCACAGCGCCGCCTGCCTCCTTTGCTTCTTCGGGTGCTGCTGCCTCGGACGCGGTTGGTTTCGCTTGTCCCTCCCTGCGCCTCTTGTCCCACCCCTGCGATTTGCCAGTTTCGCGGAGTCTGTCTCCGCTGGATTGTAGTATTCTCCAGCAGGTCCCTGGTGACTCTCAAAAACAACTTCTCTGTTTTACATTGATCTTGACTGTCACTGTATACCTCGTGCTTTCATTGCTAGATATTTCTTTTTCGCCCCACCCGTATTTGGCCCCGTCACTGCCTGCTTCTACTGCTTAAGCGGATTCAAGTGCGTGCGCTTTTTTTTTTAAAGGTGAAGCTGTGTGAATCGTATTGCAATACTTCCTACCTTTTTGCCATTTCTGTGATTATGCTGAGAGGAACCTGGTTCCACCCTAGTACAATGATAACTTTTCTAAGTGGTGACTCTTTTCAAGAGTCAGCAGAGATGTGACGTAAGGGACTATCATATAGTAGTTTTAAAAATACTATTTTTATTTCCAGGAACAGTTGTATTCTGGATCCTAATTGTTGAGATATCAAAAATGACAAAAGTATGTTTCAGGATCTCAAGAAAAAGTCATTAAAATAATGTAATATAAAGAACCTTAAAGTCTGAGAATTTTTAAAAAGTACAGTAAGCTGTAAACTTAGTTTATGCATGTGAAGTAGTTGTATCAAGCTCATTTTAGCTATTTTGTTAAATTTCTTATGCAGATTAGTGTTACTTTCAGTATAAGAACATGTTATTTCATAATTTTTATTAATTAAACTTTAGTGTTGATCTTATTTTTCTGAGATCTAAAATAAAATCTTGTAAGTAGTGTCCTTTTTATTAGTGATGTTGGATGGTGGATCAGTTTCACTAGTTTATATATTCACTTGTTTTCGCATGCAGAGTTGATTCAAGTACAGTTTGTACTTTGAGTTGTTTTTTTTCCTTAATTGAGACAAGGATTGTGCTGAAGCATGGACGTTGCTTCACTTGTGGAACATATATTTATAAAAAGGTCAGAGTTAGAATTCTAGGCCCTAGACACCTTCCTGTCCTGTCATTTCTCTGCTTTGAACTTTCTCTCCTATATCTTGTATTTTATCCTGTTTAATGTCCATTACTTTTTAAAAGTTGCTCCTGAATTTTGGAGGATATCTTTTCTCCCATGCTCTCTCATTTCCTTGGAGGGCGTCTCTTTCTCTTCCTTCCTAAACCTGAATGTCACTCAAATTTCTACTACACATGCTGTTCTCTCTAAGCCAGAGCTTTGATATTTGAAACCCAAGGAATACTGTAATAGGTCTGGGAATATTTCTGAAATGTCTCAGAAGATATAATGTATATTTGCAAGTAAGCATTTTCAATAAAGAGGAGCATTTATCAGGTTCAAGAATACTCAAGTAATATATACCATAAACTATCCTTTGGTAAATCTGTGCAGTCTAATGGTTTCAGGTGTCACGTGCTGATAATTCCACACATGAATCCACAGTCTAGGTACATTTTAATTTATATACTCCAATTTGCATTCTGTAAATCCAAAAGAAAATTCATTTTTCCCTCATATTAAATTAGCTCTTTCCTAGTTTTCTCATATTCGCAATTGATATTTTCCCTCTGTCTGATTTAGAACCATAAGTCAGTTCTCTTGACACTTCTCTATATCCCATTCTTGGTGTCACCAATCCTGTGTTTCATTATTCAATTAGTTTCCTTGACCTGTTACCAGATGTGGCTTACAGTAGCCCTCTTTTCCATTCCAATACTATTACTTAGCTAGGACCTTTGTTACCTTTTTGGCTACATTATTGCAATGATTGCATAACATCTGTAATTCATTCTTAGACTTCAATATGGGCCTCCTCCTGGCAAATCCCTTGATTCCTTTAGTTAAAACTCCATTTCTATCTAAGCCTCTTCTTTCTATTTATTTTTATTTTTTGATATTGGGGATTGAACCCAAAGGCGCTTCACCACTGAGCCACATCTCCAGCCTTTTTTTTTTTTTAATTTAGAGACAGGGTCTCACCAAATTGCTGAGGCTGGTTTTGAACTCACAATCCTCTTGCCTCAGCCTCTGAGCTGCTGGGATTATAGGTGTGTGCCACTACGCCTGCTTCTTCTTTTATATAAGCCTCCATTGTATTTTTACCGCCTCTATATTTGTTATTCTTTTCTCATTGATGATGGAACTTTGAATTATTTTCCCCATTTTTGCATTCTTGACTTAGGTTTGACTGAATTTACTCTCAAAATAGTTATCTTGAATTTCTAGTGTTGGCATTTGGTAACAAGTTAAACTTGTTGATCATCTTCTAAGTTTTGTAATTTTTGCTTGATAGTCATAGTTTTCTGAGAGGAGTATATTAAAATCCCTAATTAGGATCATAAAATCATTCGCCTGCTGTGGTTTCCATTTCTTTTCTTTCTTCTTTTTTTTACCTTTATAATCTATAGTTCTTTGCAAAGTTGAAAGATACCTTTATGATAACTCATGATGATTAAATCTTTTTGGAAAGAGACAATGCACACTTATTAATCACAGTCTAGGCTTACATTGCTCTGTCTTCGCCTCAATCTTGAACTCATCTCAGTGATTAATCCTCTTTCTGACTTCCCTTCATCCACCTTGTGCATGCTGTTTTACTGAAGGCTAATTACTGTCCTCAAAGTTTTGCTTGCTTTTTCCTCTTAGAAAGTTTTTCCCCTAGATTCTCTTAATAATTTACTTCCTCACATAAGATCCTCTACTAAAATGTCAACTCACTTCTAATTATACTTCTAAAATAGTATTCTCTATGCCCTTCTTCTCTTACCTCCTGCTTTATTTTAATTCATAGCACATCTCATTCTGATGATATACACTTTAGTGGTTATTTTTTTATTTTCTAAAATATTGTGTTGGCCCACAAGACTACCTGAAGTTTAATAAGTAAATGGCTCGTTCTTTTTATTATTATATAGTTCCCCCTTTTTATGTTTATGTAATGCTTTTCCCTTAAATTGCCTTAAGACTGTGTCCTTTATATTGGTTTTTACATAATTTCCCCTCAATCCTTTATTTACCTATTTTGTCATTAGATTATAAGTGGGTCTCAAAACTAGCATGTAGCTGGTGTTTTCATTCCCAAAATTTTGCTCTTCCTTTTTACTTTTTATCTATGTCTTTTGTTCACTTTATTTTTGCTTCTGATATATCTCTGAACATTTTAGATCTACTTATTTTTTCTGTATTTCTGAATCTTGGTTGCACATTTTCTTATTGGCTGCATTTGCTGATCCTCTCTGTAGGTGACAGTTCATCTCCTTGCATGTTTTGTAATCTCCATGCTTACATTCAATGGTAATTGTTTAGTGTGGGAGTCTAGTTGCCCTGGGCTTTGGAAGTGTCTTTACTTGGTGGCTTCAGTTGACTTGGAATTCCAGTTGTCACCAGCTGACCAGTTTCATTAGGGTCTCTGCACCATGAAGGTAGTTTGACTATATGCCCAGACCTCAAGTTCAACTTGTAGATTTCCCTCCATTGGTATGACTTTTTATCTACAAGTAGTTTAAATATATTTTATCAAGGGCTTTCCTATTAACTTGTTTTCTCACATTGTCTGCAAATCAAGTTCAGATGAGCCAAGAAAGCAGACAGGTTTACATTTTTTTCTGTCCTTTCCCATAAATGTTTTAAAATAATATGTGCACATGCAATATTATTTGAGGCTATTATCTGGATAATGACAATAGGTTCTTAGTTTTGTTTTCCTCAGTATCATCTTCTACATTCCCCTCCTGTAATCTCACTAGGTCCTACAGTAAAACTGCACTACTGCACAATTTCTTAGTGTACTCATTGTGGATTTTTTACATGCTTTTGTTCTGTTTATATGTGTTTATTTGCTACCATCTAAACCTAGTGCTTTCTGCTTTGGAATGTTATTTAATTATTAACTCAATTCCTTTAATAGATATAAGTCTATTCAGATTGTGTGTTTCTTGTATGAGTTTTGGCAGATTGTGTCTTTCAAGGAATAGGTGCATTTCATCTAGGTTATCAAAATTGTGGCCATATAGTTATTCATAGTATTTCTGTATTATCCTTTCAAAGTCCATTGGATAGTCATGTTCCTTCTTTCATTTTTGAGGTAGTAATTCATGTTTCTTTCACTTTCTCTCTGTGTCTCCATATATTTTGAGGCTTCCAGTTATCTTTCTGTTATTAATTTCTAGTTTAATTAATTCATGTGGTCTAAGAACAGACATTATATGATCTATGTTCTGTTGTTTTTTATGACCCAGAATGTTGTCTTTATTGGTGAATGTTCCATATAGGCATGGTATGAATGTGTATTTTTCTCTGTGATTTAGTAGTTTCAAAATGTCAATTATATCCAGTTGATTGATGGTGTTGTGAAACTGTCCTGATTCTGTGTGTTTTCCTTTTTGAGTGAAAATAACATACCTACTCTTGCTTCCTTTTGATTAGTGTTAGCATGGCACGTTTTTCTAATCTTTATGTGTCTTTATATTTAAAATGGGTTTTTTACAAACAACATAGTTGGGTTTTGTTTGTTTTGTTTTATTCACTCTGATAGTTGGTCTTGTCTTCAAAGCACTTAAAGTCTGGTGTCACATAAACTAATCAAAGAATTAACAATAGGAAGAAAAAATAGCATAATATCTAAATTGCATATTAAATTATGTGTTGTAGAAGAAAAAATCTACATATTGGGAAACTTTCCTAGATTAGCTTTTTTTCTAAACATCTTATTACTCAAGCTAAAAAGGGGAATTATTTTCTATTAGTTTAAAAGTGAAATCTATATCAGCTATATTGGAAATATATTCTTTTTTCTTTTGAGGCAGTTTGCTAAGTATGGTTCAAATTTTATATTATACTCAATTTTGATTTTAACTTAAATCCTAATTTTTCTTTTCTTTTCTTTTCTTTTCTTTTTTTTTTTGTGTGTGTTTGCCATTTTAGGTAAGACCATGAATTATGGCATTTCTTAAATGAAGCATTCACAAATGAAGTGAGAGAATGTCATATAGAAAATAAATGATTTTTAAGTTATGTCTTTTAGTTTGACTATAGATATATATATTTACCTCCTTAGTAATGCAAGAAGTCTTTGTGGGAAGCAGAGAAGCAAGCAGCTGCTTTTTGGGTGTTTACCTAAACATTTCTGGAGGATAAGCCATATCAGTCTACAAAGAGGTTTCCATGCCAGCAAAGTAAGATGTAAATGGACCAAAAATGAAGCTTATTCTTGGAGTAAGCACTATTACTCCCCAAGCAACCATGGTTTACATATTGGAATTTTGAAACTTAGTACTTCTGCTCCTAAGGGACTTACAAAAGTAAGCATTCATATGTCCCGTATTAAAAATACTTTGAACTCTGTTTCAAAGGCTGTTTTTGGCAATCACGATGAAATGATTTCACGTTTAGCTCAATTTAAGCCAAGTTCTCGAATATTAAGAAAAGTATCAGATGGTGGCTGGTTAAAACAGAAAAATTTTAAACAAGCCATCAAATCTCTGAAAAAATATAGTGATAAATCAGCAGAAAAGAGTCCTGTTGCAGAAGAGAAAAGTCACATTACAGATAAAGAAGATTTAGGTAAACAAAGCCTTTTTCGTTACACAACTAGCATAACTACAAAATTTGGAGAGTCATTCTACTTTTTATCAAATCATATTAATTCATACTTCAAACGTGAGGAAAAAATGTCTCCAAAAAAGGAAAATAAACATTTTCAGGTCAAATCCGAACTTGAAGGTGAAAAGACTCAAGAAAAGAAGTCCATATCTCCAGATCCTGGCATCCTGACTGATAAGCCAGGCTCTGGATCTTCCATTGATACTGTGGACAAGCCTGCAAGTCAGAGTGGAATGCCTGATGTTCTTCCAGTTTCTACTAAACAAAGTATTGCTAACTTTCTTTCTCGACCCACTGAAGGTGTTCAGGCTTTGGTAGGTGGTTATATTGGTGGACTTGTCCCCAAATTAAAATATGATTCAAAGAGTCAGCCAGAAGAACAGGAAGATCCTACTAAAACTGAGCAGGCTGTCAGCAAAGAAAAAACTGCAGAAGAGAAAAAGCACTTATCTCTTCAGCGAGAAAAGGCAAGTTTTTTTCACTATGATTTGATTGTGTTAAATTTTTGTCAGATTTTTAAGTTTCATTTCCTAATAGAACCTAAGAAACATTAACTATTTGTTAGAGCAGTTTCATATTCTAAATATATTATGTATGTATGTTATGTCTTTGTAGATTATTGCAAGAGTAAGTATTGATAACAGAACCCGGGCATTGGTCCAGGCATTAAGAAGAACAGCTGACCCAAAGCTCTGCATTACTAGAGTTGAAGAATTGACTTTTCATCTTCTAGAATTTCCTGAAGGCAAAGGAGTGGCTGTCAAGGTAATTCTAATTTATTTAATCTAGCTTTGTCTTGGAATAAAAATGTTAATAAACCTTTTTCAATGGAGAAAGCAAGGCCTTTCTCTTTTTTATTTTTTTGAAATTTTTTTGTAGTTTTGTATGTATTCAGTAATTGCTTCATTGATTCTGTCATATACATTATGCTAATGAATTCCCTAGTTTGTGATATAAATTATACTATTAGTATTGGCATCTATATTTTGAGGTTAAGCATTTATAAAATAGAAGGTTAGTATCAGTATATTAGTTGAATTACCTAATAGCTGCCACAGTTTTCTTACTTGCAGTATAGATATTTGTACTTTTAACTACTCTTTTTTTTAAGGTTTTTTTTTTCATACCTTTATTTAATTCATTTATTTTTATGTGGTGCTGAGGATTGAACCCAGTGCCTCACATACGCCAGACAGCCATTCTACCACTGGGCTACAGCTACAGCCTACTTTTAACTACTCTTAAGACAAAATACATAATTCATATGTAAAGTGTTTGCTAGTTTTTATTTCATGGCCTCTCCATATTTGAAAGCCTAAAAATTTTAATGACCTTAGTGCTAATGGAACTGGTAATCTTAAGTGAAACAATGAGCTTTCCCTTACCTGATTTTTGAAAATCTAAAATAGTGAACATAATTCAGACCCATTTAAATAGACTGTTTTTAGAAAGTTCTCTAAAATGTGTTTGAGTCTCTTTATCTGTAATAATACAATTGTTAAAATTATATTAGAAATGTGTTTAGCTTGTCATTCAAGAAATTATTAGTTCACTCATTCACATTTATTCTACTTTTTGACAAATCACCTTGCTGAAAAGGTCTTTGAATAATGCACCTTTCCATAGTTTTATATTATATAACAAATATATTATAATACATAAACTTTAATATTTCATGTTCCTAAAATTTGGGGTTGTCTTTCATATTTAAAAATATCCTACTTAAAAGACAAATTTTCTAAATATACATGTGTTTTTAATTGTTTCACATTTCGGTGATGTATATAGAAATATAATTACCGTCTTTTAGTTGATTTGGGAACATTGTATCCTAAACTGGGTAGATTATATATAACAGAAATTTATTTCTCACAGTTCTGGAGGCTGGGAACACAAGATGAGGAGCTGTCAGATTTGGTATTGGTGAAGGCCTTGTTCCTCAGTATTGTGGCAAACTCATGGGGCAAGAGGGGCAAGGACACTAATCCCATTCATGAGGCAAAGATCTCATGACTATCACTTTCCAAAAGGCCCTCCTACCTCCTAATTGTGTTGCACTGGGTACTAGATGTCAACCTTTGAATTTTTTTTTTTTTTTTTTTGGAGAAAAAAGGAAATAGAAGGTTTATTGCTTTGCTAGCAAAGGAGAAACACAGGGAATTCCTCTCCCAGAGGCTATGATTCCACCCATCAGCAGGAACTGGGGTACTTTTAAAGAGATGATTCAAAGGCTAGATTCCCATGTTCTCTGTTGGCATTGAAATTCACTTGTTAATTTGGGAGATAGTCATTTCTGAGATCCTCAGATACCATCCCCAGAGTCTGGATTACTTCTTTCCTAGCTTGGGTGAGTGCTCAAGGACAGATAACTCTGTCTAGGGTGGGGAAGAAAGGTAATCCTGTTTCCCCTGAGATTAGGGAGGAGCTGGGAGAGAGGAAGAAGTAGAAAACCAACAGATATGAAGTAGAAATAATAGATTAAAATCCTGTTTGAAATAAAGTCTATCCAAAAAAGTCTTTAAAAAAAGAAAAAGAAAATAAAAAGAAAAGCAACAGATGAATTTTAGGGAGAGACTAATATTAAAGAACCATTTTAAACATTCAGGTATCACACACATACATTTGTAAGCATAAAGTTCACAAATTGAACCCAGATGAAGAAGCAGAATATTACCAGTGCCTCAGAAGTCTCTCTTGTACCCCTTTTAGTCAATCTCCCAAAAAGGCAATCACAGATTAGTTTTGGCTAATTGACTTCTTCTACTCAGTGTATTGTGTGATTGTTGTCAATTATTCATTCTCGTTTTTTCATGTTTCATTGTGTATCACATTTGTTGTAATGTTGTTGGATTTCTGAGTAGTTTTCAATTTTAGACTGCTATGAAAACTCTTGCTAATTGAAACTTTGGGGATTCTCTTAATGTTTCACAACTGATCTCAAATCTAAGGACTCTGTAATACTAAGAAAAAATGTGCTATAGAAATGGATATTCAGGTCAATTAATACTCTAGATAGTTTGAAGAAAATTGTTACTATTCCCTAAATAATAAGCATCTGAAAATAGTGAACTATAAATTGCTTAAAGCAAGTCAGTATCATGTGCTCTGCTGAGAACTTTCCCAGCTAAACATTTTACCCATTTTTTGGGGGGTGGGGGATTAGCCAGCTTTTTATTATTGATTTGTATAGTTTCCTTATTTGTTATGGCTAGGTATGTGTGTGTATGTGTCTTGCAAATATATTCTCCCACTCTGGGGTGTACCTTTTTCTTTTTTTTTAATATTTATTTTTTTAGTTTTAGGTAGTCACAGTATGATGAATGGATATTAGTCCAATTTATATTTGTCTTTGTGTTCTGTTGAAAAAATTTTTTGGTTTTGTATTTTCTTCTAAAATTTTGTTTTACCTTTTCTGCTTTTATTTACTATTTATCTAGAATAGATTTGGTTGCATTGTGTGAGATGAGAGTTCTGCCCTTTTTTTCTAAATACACATGTCCACGTGACACAGAACCATTTATTAAAAAGACTTGTCATAAATGTAGTCATTAATATGAGTCTGTTTCTGGACACTGGATTTTGTTCCATTAGCATATTTATGTGTTTTTGCTTCAGTATTTTTAATTTTTAATTCAGCATCTTTTTATTAGTATTTATAATGGGAGGATCACCTCTTGGTCTTTGATCATTTCATGCTGTGACATGCATTCTAGATGTTGGACATCATGAATAAAAACAAATAATAGCAGCAATAACAACAACACTCCATAGGATCCAGATTCCTTTTTCCAGAGAGTTGATTTTTGTTCCTGGCTTGGTGTTATGGGGCATTCCTTCAGTTAGGGTATAATTGGGTCAAGGCTGGGTTATAGTTTGGTGAAGACACTTAGTTTTCCCTGTTTGGGAGCCACCTTCCTCCAGGGTTTTCAGTTGAGAGACTATGTGTTGACTGCCACCACTCTCATCGGTTATACAATCTCAAGAGTTTAAAAAAAAAGAAAATTTCTACTCTTGAATTCCAGAAGTCCTCATCTTAGCTTTCTCACCTTTTCATATCTCATTGTTTCAGAATTCTGCAAATATCCGGAGGTGAGCCTTGGTTCTTCAGTTTTGTCATTCTAAACTCCATGAGACTAAATGCTCAGCTCTTCTCTGTTCAGTTGTGGCCCTCTGTCTGATTCAGGCCCAGTTTTTCCATCTTTTTGCTTCTTTACAGAACCAGCAGGTGCCCTAAGGAAAGAAAGGCTATAGTTTATCAGTTCACTTCCCAGTAGTTATCCCTTCTTCAGATTCCTAGTTTCTCCCATACTCATTGCCTCAGCAGCTGTACGATGCCTTTAAACAGATGGTGCTTTTCTTGCATTTTATCAAGCTGTTCTAGTTTTCTTGGCATGAGCATTGATCTGTAACAAATTGTTCCATCCTAACCAGAGAAGGGAATTTGCCTTTCTAAACTCCACCGGTTGTTCAAGTTCCTCTAAGGGCACTTTGAAACTCATTACTAGTCAGGGACAAAAAAAACCCTAAAAAAACCAAAAAACATTTAGAGCAATAGTATTTCAGATTTGATCATAAAAAAAGAACATGGGTGATACATTGAAAAACTATTTCCTGGGCTACAGATTACACAGCAGAAGTGTATCTACCACTTAGCCATTTCCTTAAACCTGGGGTATTGACTATATAAAATGCTCCTGTGTGAGTAAGCTCAGTGTAGAACCCTAAGAGTTAAGCTCTTATCTGTCACTAACAATATGAAGTTTAATATTTAAATCTTGCAGTCCTAGTTTTATTTAAATAATTATTTATTTTATTTTATTTTTTATATTAAGAGAGAGTGTCTGACTGTGTTGCCCAGGCTGGCCCTGAACTCCTGGGCATAACTGATTCTTCTCCCACAGCCTGTTGAGTAGATGAACTACAGGCACATGCCAGTGCCCCATCTTAAACTTATTATTTAATTTTAATGGTCATCTTTTATCTTCTGTCTCAGTTTTATTTTATAAGTCAACATTTGCTTATATTCTACTATCAGGTCTCTTTTTGTCCCATGTGCACTGTACACAACATGGTTTATTTGTTTTCTTTTGATAACAGTTTAATTTCTAATACTAAATACTATGAAGGAGTTTTATCCTCTTCAAGATTGGGATAAAATATGTGTAAAATTTATGATGTTAACCTTTTGTTGTCACAAATAATATTTTTAAATTTGTATTAAGCAAGTTATATTTTCTCTAATTTTTAAACATTGCACATTTTAAAGAAGATATATGGCTAGAAGTTACTTTTTGTCTTTTGTATTAGGACAAATATATTCTAAATATATATTGATATTAACATGTCAAAAACTAATCTATAATTTAAATTAGTGAGAAAATAATGTATACTTACACCTTTATTTTATGTGATGATCTACTTGAGTTAGTTAAAAATAATCATCCATTTTTCTTCTTGATTTGACAAAAGCAACCAAATATCTTTTCTCTCAATGTAGGAAAAAATTATTCCATATTTATTACGACTGAGACAAATTAAGGATGAAACTCTTCAGGCTGCAGTAAGAGAAATTTTGGCTTTAATTGGCTATGTGGATCCAGTGAAAGGGAGGGGCATCCGAATTCTCACAATTGATGGTGGAGGAACGAGGTAAGGACAGAAAAATAACTTTTAAAAACCGCAGACTCAATTCAGCCTTAGGCATCAAAAAAAAAAAAAAAACTGATTTGATGTATTTATATTATTCTAAAATCAAATTCTAAACTGCAACATGAAATTGAATTTTTATTAATTTAGTACATGAGTCTATGAAACATTTCAACATATATGAATCACTTTTATTTTAATTTGATCTAGTATTTATATTTTAGTTTGTTTTTAAATGTTTTTGGTAGTTCAGGAACTTATCAGCCATTATTCTTTAAAAATCTTAGCAATGTTTTGTAGTTTCAGCTTTCTTTTATATTTGTCTTACTCATGTCAGTCACTAATCAATAAAGTGATTGCTAGAAAAGGAGTCTATGTCAATAACTCCCTGGTTTCCCGTGTCTTCCCTTATACTTGCTAGTTCTGGTGTTATACAAAAAATAAATGCATTCTTTGCTCAGAAAGAGATAATTTCATTACCAATCTTCAGTCTTACTACTTTAATCTTAGATTTTGTAAGATTTCTAGTGACTTCCTGTTGGCAGAATTAAGGCACAATTTGAAACTCTAAATTTTATTATGTGGTGACTAAGTGCCTTTTTTGTTCTAGAATGACCTGGCCTACATTGTGTATTTGGAATAGAACTTTTCATTGATTTTTTTTTTTTTTTTGTATATTGTCCCAATGTTGAGAATTGTCCATATGGCCCTAATTGACCTATAATTCCTGGGCTATTTTATCTTCTCACATTCCTTTATGAAGTATGTCAGGCCTTTGGCAAAGTGAATACACCTTAATGCAGAGGTTTGTCCTAAATTTACTGAATTTTAAAAAAATGAATGAATGAAAGGAAGCTAAAAAATCAGACTGGGCATGGTGGAGCACAACTATAATCCCAGCAGCTCGAAAGGCTGAGATGGGATTGTTAGTTCAAAGCCAGCCTCAGCAACTCAAGAGAAAGGCCTTGTCTCTAGATAAAATATTTAAAAAAAAATGGGATAGTGATGTGACTTAGTCTAAGTTTAGTGCTCCTGGGTTCAATCCCCAGAGGGTGTGGGGGAATCTGTTGAACTATATAAAACACAAATATATAGAAGCATAGGTGACCCATTGTACTGATGAAAGAAGAAACCAACGTATGTCATCCCAAAGTTGGTCAGGTGAGGTTTTAAGTATTTTTCAGAGTTGGAGTATTTTAAAAATATCTTATTGACACATCTTTGTGTTCTAATTCAAATAGATACTAATATACATTTTTAAATGTGCTTCAATACCACAGGTTTGATACCTTTATTTAGATATTGAATTTTTAAAAATAATCCTAAATATTTGGATGGGCAATTTTTACTAATGCTGATTTGCATATTAGTTTTCATGTTAGCACATAAACTATAAAAGCAGTTGATAGGATTATTTTATTCAATGACTTGGATTTATTTTCCTGAAATAGGAATTCCCATTTTGCTTTTGATTTTTTTTCCCATAGGGGTGTAGTTGCTCTTCAGACACTGAGGAAATTAGTTGAACTTACTCAGAAGCCAGTTCATCAGCTCTTTGATTATATATGTGGCGTAAGCACAGGTAATGATTATTAGATTAGATTAAAGATCGTGGTTATATTATGAAATGTTGGGCATTAGTTTCATGTTTTGATGTGAATAATTTTTCAGTTTGCTTAATAAACCTGTAAAGGTATTTATTTTAAATAAGTTAACATTCAGAAAGATTTTAATGTGCTTTTATAATATGTTTTCAATAAAGCACTGTAACAAGGGCAGATTATAAATTATTTCTTTATGGTATATTCATTGTAAGGAAAGCAATGAAGCAGAAGGCAGACATTGTACTTAAACCAATAGAAAATTAAAGGTGAATACATTTTTTTTTTGTTTTTTTTTTTTCCTGTGAGGGGAGTCTCTCAATTTGAAGATTGCTCCTTATGTAATTTTTATATGGTTGTTTGAAGGCAGAATTTAAATTGAGAAATGTGAGAATCTGTGCGTTTAAAAAGCTACTTTTAGGGCTGGGGATGTGGCTCAAGTGGTAGCACACTCGCCTAGCGCGCATGAGGCGGTGGATTCGATTCTCAGCACCATGTAAAAATAAAATAAAGGTATTGTGTCCACCTAAAACTAAAAAATAAATATATTTTTTTAAAAAACCTACTTTTAGCAGGACATTGGGGCACATGCCTGTAATTGCCAGTGACTGAGGCACGAGGATCCAAGTTCAAGGCTAGCCTCAGCAACTTAGTGAAACCCTGTCTCAAAATTAAAAATTATAAACCAGCCAGGGATGTAGCTCAGTGGTAGAGTGCCTGCCTGGGTTCAATCCAAGTACCAAAAAAGAAAAGTTACCTTTAAATATTGCTAGTTGGGCTGGACATGGTGGAGCATTCCCATTATCCCAGGGACTCTGGAGTCTGAGGCAGGAGTAATGCAAGGTCAAAGACAGCCTTGGCAATTTAGCAAAGCTCTAAACAACTTAGTGAGACCTGTTCTCAAAAAAATAAATAAATAAATAAATAAATAAATAAAAATAAAAATAAAAAGAAAGAAAGAAAGAAGAGCTGGGGACATGATCAGTGGTGAAATACCCCTGAGTTTAATCCCCAGTAGGAGGGAGAGGCAGGGGATGGGGACCAAGAGGTGGTTGGTATATGTATAGAATTCTTCTATCCTTTTCTTTCATACCCCAAAGCTTTCTCCTACCTTTTATCTTTATTTAAAGGTTAGGCCAATGAGAAACACTAGGTGGCAGTGTTTCCTACCAATTACAACTAGTACATGAAATCAGATCAGGAGATCCCAGAGTGTTTGATTTCTTTAATTACATTGACTCTAGAACCAACTAGAAAGAGTAGTTGCTTAATGAATTCATGAGTTATTAAATATACTGTGTTATATGACTAAAACTAAGTAATTATTGTGAGAAATATCTTTAATAACCATGATATCTTTCTTTTATATTTAATATAAAGAAATATTTTTGTATATTTAAAAATTTTTATAATTATCATCTTGAGGTAGATGTATTTTATCATTTTGGGGATCTGGTAAAGCCCTTTACATGTGTTGTCACAATACAATGGGCTTGGGAATTTTAGTTGTTATTTTTTTTTTGCCATTTTACAGGTAAAAAAAATTGGGATTGAGAAGTTAAGGAACTTGTCCCAGGTGACATAGCTAGAATTGTCCCAGTGTTAAAGCTAGAATTTAATAAGCCAGGTCTATGACCCAGGAGTTCTTAAAATTATAAGTGCAGTAACATCAATGCTCATAAAAACTAAGAATTTTTTTCTTTTAGGAGCCATATTAGCTTTCATGTTGGGATTGTTTCATATGCCCTTGGACGAATGTGAAGAACTTTATCGAAAATTAGGATCAGATGTATTTTCACAAAATGTCATTGTTGGGACAGTAAAAATGAGTTGGAGCCATGCATTCTATGACAGTCAAACATGGGAAAAGATTCTTAAGTAAGTTATAATTCTTTTTAAAAATGTTCTAATTATGTAGGTATATATGCATATTATAAGTTTTAAAATACGAAAAATATGAAGACTCAAATTATTAATACCATTAATTGGAGATAATCACTGTTCCTATTTTAATGAACCACATTGTAGTCATAAATTCTTGGGTTCATGTGTATGAGATTTGCATATAAAAGATAAAATTACCTTTTTAAAAATTTGAGACTATGGTGTACATAGACCACAGTTGCACACTGTTGTTTCTGAAGTCATTATTCTAAGCTGTTTAATAATTTTTTCATTTCTTTCCAAATACTATGAATCAAAAAGTATAAGTGGAAAGTAGAAACTTAAAATCAACTGCAATCCTATTGTTCAAAGCTGTAGACCTTGCAATGTATTTCTTCTAGGTATTTCCTAGATTTTATACATTTTTATAAACATTTTGTGCAGCTGACATTACAGTTGTAAATTGGTATCTTCCCCCCTTTTTCCAATTTTATTAAAATTTCTTGACATATTTTAAAATATTACATTATACTACAGAATGTGACAGTACTGTGATTTCTTAACCATTTCTATATATGATATTTATGGGCATTCAAGACATTTATATTGCTTTTAATTTTTTTTATGATTATGAACATTGCTTTGATAGGAAACTTTAAATTTATGCCCATATTTCAGAATATACAAATAGATCAGTTTTTAAGAACATAATTATTGAATCAAGTGTTGATATCATTTTAAATAGAGAATATTTGGAAATAGAGAATATATAAAGAAAATTACCAATAATTCTACTAAGATCACATTTCTTTCTAGAATTTTTTACAGGTAGAGAGAGAGAGAGTGTGTGTGTTCATTCCCTTCACAATTTGGGGATGATTATGCACATGTAATTTGATATCTGCGTTTTCATTTAGTGTTTATTACAGTCTCTTGCAATCTCATTAATATTTTTGAAACATTTTGATGGCGTTCACTCTTCCCTTTAATGAATGTACTATTTTTTATTTTAAAAATTAGCTATTGAAAAAGAAGGATGCTTAAGATGTCATTGTATTTCAAAAAGAAAGTTTCCACGGACATTTTACATCTTTACTTTAGCTTTAAGGAAAAGTTCTAGAAGTACAATTTTGGGTCAGAGAGTATGCATGTTTGAAAAATCTTGACAAGTACATATATATACGTATCTACCAGAATCAATTTGTATTTATCTTAGGAAATATTCATGAACACCCAACAATTAAAAAAAATTTTTTTTAGTTGTAGGTGGATACAATACCTTATTTTATTTATTTATATGTGGCACTGAGGATCAAACCCAGTGCCTCACATGTGTTAGGCAAGCACTCTACCCTGAGCCACAACCCCAGCCCAACACTCAACAATTTAATATTTAAAATATATCAGTTTGACAGTTTTTGAAACCAGTATTTCAATGGATGTCACTTTGTTTATTAGTGAATTTCAATATTTTTTGTTTTTTGACTATATTCTTCTGTGAATTTTCAGGGCAAGGTCTTTGCTTATTTTACTGTCAGGGTGTGGCACACTATATTGTATTTATAACCATATATTGAAAAAGTACTTTTTAATTAATCATCTATTTAATAAAGAAAGTTTAAAAATCTTCATTTAGCCACATTTTTATAATGATTTTAGCTTTGCTTTCATACTCATAAAGTCTTTTCTACCCTGAAAGTAGGTAAATATCTACATTATTCTCTAGTTCTAAGGTTTTATTAAACTTATATTTTTAGGACAACTGAAATTCATTTTGAGACATATTGTGAGAGAGTCAAACTGTACTATTTTTTCATGTTAATTTAAATGTCCCAGTACCATTACCAAATAGTTTTTCTTTTTTTTTTCACTGATTTAAAACACCATCTTTATCTTATCTGTTTACATGAGAGTATAATGTCCAATCTTTTTATTTTTCCCTTTGATTTTTTTAATACATTCTGTAACTTTAGTTTTAACCCTTATATAAGGTGTTTTTGAATGAAATAATGAATCTCCTTTATTCTTTTTCATAATTCTGTTAACTATTTTCATAGTGAATTTTTGGTTACCTTTCTCATAAAAATCTTGCTAATATTTTAATGGAAGTTAATGTGAACTGTACAGGTTATATTGTGGAATGTTGACATCTTTCCAGTTGTGAAATTTCTCCATCTATTGTTGCAAATTTAAAACTGTTACTTATTTTAGGTCTTTTGCATTTACTAGAAAAAAGAACTATTAGTTCTCATGAAATCATAATACTGCTTCTTAAAGATTTTTAAATAAAGATTTAAAATCTTAACATAAAACATTCACTTTACTGTGAAATTCTTTTTTCATTTTGTTTCTCATGAATCTTCATATTTGCACACTACTATTTCATTTTTGCTTTTTCAGAGACTTCTTTATTTTTAATTATAGCTTTGATAAACTTTAAATATGATTAGTTTTATCCTTTCTTTGATTTTTCTCTTAACTGTTATAGCAAAACAAACTAATTCTCAAAGTTAGTAGCTTAAAATAATAATGATTTAGTCTCTGATTCTGTGATTTGATTGGGCATTTCTTCTGTGCTTGCCTGTATTCAGTTTTGCTACTGGCAACTGGTAGCTCAGTTAATATGGCTGGAACAGCTGAGTCTCTCTTCACATGGTCATTTCTATCCTGGGCTTCATCTCATCATCTCGATCTCAGCATTCTCAGAGGGCAAGCCTCAATGCATAATCACTTATCAAGCCTTGGTCTTATCCCTTGTTTGCGGATGTCTCATTGCTTGAATCTTCTCAAACCAAGGATCTGTGTGGGAAAGGGCAATATATAAGGACATGTATTCCAGGAAATGTGATTCACTGGGGGCACTATTGTTATACTCTACCATACCTATCCACTGGTTCTTTTGTTTGTCATGACTTTTTTTTGAAATATTTTTAGTTGTTGATAGATCTTTATTTTTATTTATTTATATGCGATGCTGAGAATCGAACCCAGTGCCTCACACATGCCAGGCAAGTGCTTTACCGCTCAGCCCCAGCCCCAGCCCCTGTCATGACTTTTTTAATCTTGCTGTTTATTTAGAACATGTATGTGTTTGTTTGTTTTTTTCATATGATGATGACTTTGTGTTATTTTGTGGGTACCATTTTGATTATAGCATCAGTAGAATCTGAGAATGCTAAGATTTTTTTTCATATGTTGGTCTTTCTGTAATAAGCAATTATCATTCCTTTCTCTTCAGATTTATATTCATAACTCACTAAAGCATTTTAGCTCTTTTATTTAAACCAAGGTTTAAACAACAGCAATAACAAAGTTTGAACTTTGCTTGAAAGTGTGAATGCTCCCAGAATTTCTGTTCCAAATTTATATCAAGAGTCTGCAGAACAGTAAAATTGAATTGATCTTCATATAGAAGAAACATATAGATCAGGTTGGGAAAGTAAAAATCTTGTTCATTTTGGAAAATATTACACTAGTACACTGATGTTTATAAAAGCTTGTAAAGGGTAGATCACCAAGCAATTTGTAAATATTATGCTTATTTGAGATTTACTAACAGTTGAGAAACTTAACTATGATTTGAAAAAACATCATTAGGAAAATACTTAGAGGAAGATTGATAAAGGCATAGTATTTGCAAGGCAGAGAGAATAATCTTTAAGACTGAAAAAAGTCTACATTGAAATTAAATTCTCTTGTAAAGGAATTGTAAAAATTGCTGCCCATTAACTCAAATACCAATTGAGATGTTTTTACAAGCAATTTTTATAACATTGGCTCTGTGTTACCCACTAAAGCAAGTTTAATGTCTAAATGTAAATGTCTTGACCTGGTTTTTAGGTAAATATACTGTATGAACACTTCTGTAGTCTTTTAATTTTACCCTTGGAATTGAACCAGGGGTATTCTACCATTCAGATAAAGCCCTCTTCTCCCACCACTTTTTAAAATTTGTATTTTGAGACTGGATCTCGCTAAGTTCCCTAGGCTGGGCTTGAACTTGTGATCCTCCTGCCTCAGCCTCCTGAGTAACTGGGATTACAGGTGTGCACCACTATACCTGGCACTTCTGCAGTCTTAACAAAACTTCTATATCCTGGCAGCAGGACCCTGAAAACAATAGATTTATTCTATTTTTATGCCTTTGTTCTATATAGGTACTGGATTTCAGGATGTTGTCATTGTTCAGTATCTCTCTCAAACTACAATTCCATACATCTTTCTTAGTAACTCTATCCTATATTTATTTCTTCACCTCAGAACTATACTTACAGTCTGAATCAGAGATTAATAAATCACTGCATATTGTTTCTTGTGCATTAATTGGATTGTAAGCCTCTTAGGGGAAATTGTTGTACTTCTTTTTGTTCCTTATAGCACTTTGAGAAAGCCGTCTGCAAATAGTAATTTCATAGTGCATGTTTTGGGCTGGGGATGTGGCTCAGTGGATGTGGCTCTTCTGTTACTCTTGAACTCTGGTCTTTCATGCTTTCCTTCCTTGTGTAGTTTATCAACTATGTGCCCCTTGTGGCAGCACTGTGCTGGGCACTTTGGATAGATTCATAAGCAACCACAGACATGGAGTTTATAGTCTGTTCATGCAATAATTACGCAGATGAGATATATTTTTCTGAAATAAGATCTGTGGAACACAGAAATGGTTTTCTCTGCTTGGCATGGACAAGGCCCTAGTTTGATCCCCAGCACCGCCAGGAAAATTAAAAAAAAAAAAAAGTGTGTGTGTTTTGCTGGGTGTGGTGGCATACGCCTGTAATCCCTGCAGCTCAGGAGGCTGAGATAGGAGGATCACAAGTTCAAAGCCAGTCTCAGCAATTTAGTGAAGCTCCAGGCAAATTAAGGAGACTGTGTCTCAAAGTGAAAAATATAAAGGGTTGGGGATATGGCTCAGTGGTTAAGCACCCCTGAGTTCAATCCCTGGTACCATTAAAAAAAAAAAAAAAACATATGCTCTGATTTTTAAGAAAGAAAATCATTTTGATATATATTATTTCTTCTTTTTTAATAAAGGGATAGAATGGGTTCTGCACTAATGATTGAAACAGCAAGAAACCCTACATGTCCTAAGGTAAGTATAGTGTATTATCTTAAATAATACCCATTTCTAACAAGGTCTGATGAAAGCAGTTATTTTGAGGGCTCTTTTGTTAAGGAGAAAAATTCTAAGAAATTTCTGCTAATAGATTTTATTCTTCTATGAAGATCTAGGATGTGATGATTAGATCTTTTGTATATCTAGTAAAAGTATAACAAAGGTTTAAAAACATGAAAGTCTGAGACTAAAAATAAGGAAGAATTATTTTATCATAATTATTTTAATCAAATTTAGGAAAGTTATAGCATTTCCTTCCCTAGATTTTAAAGAAAAAAATCTATATATCATATATAATCTCAGTATAGCACCCCATTTATTTATTTCAAGTTCAATGACCTGAGTATTACTTGAGTTTGTTTTCTTTAATAATACTTGTTTAATTAACAAATATAATTTATGTGCCTAAGAATCCCATGCAGCTTATATGTATTCTCGGATAATAAGCTGTAATAAGAAAAGTCAAACAGATACAGCTCCTGTTGCTCTTAAACTCTGGTCTTTCATGCTTTCCTTCATTGTGCAGTTATCAACTATGTGCCCATTGTGGCAGCACTGTGCTGGGCACTTTGAATGTATTCATAAGCAACCATAGACATGGAGTTTATAGTCCGGTAGAGCAGCTTAGCTATTCATGCAATAATCACGCAGATGAGATATATTTTTCTGAAATAAGATCTGTGGAACACAGAAACAGTTTTCTGAAAGCACACATTTAAAGGGATGTAAAAGAAAGCTACTTTGAGATCTTAACGTGAAGGCTGATGAGTAGGAGCATTTCTGGCAAAGACACAAAGGGAATGGGCTGTGCAGGAGGAGTCATAGACAATTCCAAGAACTGAAAGAGTTCCTGAAGACTACAGCCCAGGAATCCAAGGGCAGCATGTGGGATAAGGCTGGCGCCGTAGGCAGATCAGACTGTGTACAGGGCCTTAAAGGCTGTAATAGCTCTTTTGGAGAAGATCCTGGGATGAACTCTGTGCCTCATGCTTCTTTCCCTGTATCTTCAGGGCTCCATTTCTGTTTGCTTGCTTCCAAATCACAGAAGTTGTTGACTTTGAATAAAAGAATAGACTGAATAGAAGGAAACTTTAGCCATATTAAAAAGTGCTTCATTATAGACTATCACTAAATAGGGAAGAGAGGTGGGAGAGAAAAAAGAGGGAGAAGGGGAGTTGCACGGAAGATGGAAGGAGAACCTCATCGTTATACAGAATAAGTGTGTCACATTAGATTGGATATAGAGAAATGATGGGAGAGGAGGGGAGGAGTAGGGGGGGATAGGAAGGGCAGCAGAATAGAATAGACATTATGATTGATGTATGTATATAGGTGACTATGACCAGTGTGATTCTGCAATCTGTACAATTAGAAAAATGAGAAATTATAACCCAGTGATACAAATGTATGAATTGCCAAGATCATTGTAATGTCATGTGTAGATAATAAAAATAAAATAAAATAAAATAAAGATATTGTGTCCACCTAAAAAAAAGTGCTTCATTATGATAAAGGTAGCAGTCATCTATACATGTTTTAATCCAGTTTTACCTATAATAATTAGAGAAAGACCCTCTGGACTTAAGTGCATGACCAACTCTTAACCATAGCAACATAGAGACAGAGTTGGATTACTTATAGGAATTCAGGCTATGACTTGTTTATTAAATAGCAAAGCAAATGGGTCCTTGGCAGGGTTGGCACAGGACACTAAAAACTTTGGCCTTAGCATATTTCTGCCTATTAAGTTTGTATTTGCAGATCATCATACAACATATTTTACGTACATTCAATGTACAGCCATAAAATCTTGAGACATGTAGTGATTGGTGTTAAAGTTTTTTAGTAAAAATTATCAGCTACCAAGTTTTAATAACTAATGAAAGCCCTAGGAGTTTGTGTAGTGTTGTTTCAGCTTTACCAAAGTCATAATGCTTTCAAAGAGCATAAAAACAAAGACTAACTTGTAAATAATATTGTGAAGATAGTGTAATTATTAATCTTTAAGTAGTTTTTATTAATTGTTACTTCTGCTATGCCAATTAACACACAAATCTAGAAATGTATGCCTTCTTGAATGTCTTTAAGTCAAATCCAATTATATAGTCAAAGATATTTTTTGTTATTATTCTAATACGTTTCTCTGAATGGTCTCAGTTCTTACATCTATTGTGCCATAAAGAAATATCTAATTTAAAATTTTTGCTGAACTTTAAATTTATGCTACACATTGATCTTTTGGAGAGTTGTAGATTGTTCATTCATACTACTCAATAGTATTTAACTTATAGATGCCAAATATTGCTGCTTACAGTGGTACTGTCACTTTTATTTCACTAGGTAGCTGCTGTAAGTACCATAGTAAACAGAGGGATAACGCCAAAAGCCTTTGTGTTCAGAAACTATGGTCATTTTCCTGGAATCAACTCTCATTATTTGGGAGGCTGTCAGTATAAAATGTGGCAAGCCATTCGAGCCTCATCAGCAGCTCCAGGCTACTTTGCAGAATACGCATTGGGAAATGATCTTCATCAAGTAAGTTGGCTTGTATGGCCATCTTTTATAATTTTACATGATTAAAACAATCAGCATTTATTAACTGTCACTCAACTTTGTAAGACTCAACCAAGATGACTTCTTAAGGTTTTTATATTTCAAAAGATGTGCAATTCATTATATTTTTGTCTGTCTTAAATTTATAAGTCTTCTGTCTTGAATGTATAATTTAGGAAAATTTTGAAATATTCTATACAGTGTGGTTTAAAACCAATTATGATAATTTTATTGATGAAAAATGTGGCAGTATGTAGCTTTTCAAACATGAAAATTAAATATGAAATAGATTCCAGCAAATGCAGAACCCAGTCTGACAATTTTGGAGAGTATAGTTTGGAGGATACTTAAACATTTATTAAGTTAGCTATGTACCAGACACTTGTTTAATTTTTTTTACGTGATTGTCTCATTTAATTGTTACTACTTATGAGACAACTATTTCCATTTTACAAGTAAGGAATTGGGGTCTTAAGAAGGGCTAAGTAGTTAGGAGTCACAACTATTCAGTGACAGGATACTACCTATAATTATAGTTTTAAATTTAAGTTATTTGTAGAGTTAAGTATTGTTTCTGGTCATTCTTTTTATGTAGTCTCATGTACTTAATTTCTTTCTGTCAAGTTTTTCCCACGATTTGTGGGATGCTTAAGTTTTTTGTTTTTGTTGTTGTTTTTTTTTTTTTTGGTAACAGGGATTGAACCCAAGGGCACTTAACTTCTGAGCCACAACCCCAGTCCTTTTTATTTTTAATTTTGAGACAGGTTTTGCTAAATTGCTTAGGGTCTGGCTAATATGGTGAGGCTGGGTTTGAACTTGTGTTCCTCCTGTCTCAGCCTCCTGAGCTTCTGGCATTACAGGTGTGTGCCACCACACCTGGCTTGGAATACTTACTCTATAATTTGTACCTAAATGATAATAAATAAAACCAATAGCTTTTAATATGGTAATTTTTATATGATGTCCCACTTAAAATCAGTCTCATTATATAGACTGTAATCTTAACTTTCCTCTCTAGTTACTAAAGTTTGCGTGTTCTCTTTACTTAGTAATTACCTGTCTCTTGGAAAAAAGTCTTAATATCACTGACAAGGATTTTCAGGTAGCATTACTATACTTGGATCTTTATGAATTATATATTGGCTATAAAGCTTTGAAGTTTCTAATGCATAATTCTAATTTACATGTGTCATTAATAAATAACTGAAATATTTTTATCAATTTTATTTTCTTCTATGTTTTGATAGAATAGCTTAGATATATTCTAAAATTTTATGGTCAACGATCCTATTTTTAATTTTTCTGAGAGTAACATCATAATCTTTGTAGTCAAGACATTAAAATAGGATTTTTTTGTCTTTTAAGAGTCACTTCAAACCACTTCTTACTTGGTCAAATCTGTCATTGTTGAATTATGTAAGGCACATCCCTTCTCTTGCCTTTCTTTTTTTTTCTTCCACCCCCTCAGGGCAGCAAGTGATGGCTATTGAGTTTCTTTCTGACATAGATTTCAGGATTTATTGGTCACAGTAAATGTTGATTGTAATATGTAGCTTGCTGTCTTTAACAACAACTTCCCCCGTTGTTATTTTATTCTTGCCATATCACAAGTGGAAAAATAACTTAGACAATGTATTTAAAATACACAGAAGTTATAGCTGTAAGATGGTCATTATGGTAAGACTTCTCAGTTACACCAAATATCAGCAAGAATTTCAAGTAATAAATTTGGATACCTGCATTTTGGGACCAAACGCTTTCAGATTTCAAAAGAAGTTATCTCACCCAGCTGGGTGGTGTATGCCTGTAATCCCAGCAGTTTGGGAGGCTTAGGAAGGAGGATCTCAACTTGAAAGCCATCCTAAGCAATTTAGAGAGGCTCTAAGCAACTAAGTGAGACCCTGTCTCTAAATAAAATATTTTTAAAAGGCTGAGAGTGTGGCTCAGTGGTTAAGTGCCCCTAGGTTCAATCCCTAATTAAAAAAAAAAAAAAAAAAAGAAGTCATCTCACTTGCTCTCTTTATTGCTGAAGGAAAAGTAGTTCAGATGTTTAATTCAGTCTTTCTTGCATATGTGTGTTTGTATGTGTGTGTAACAAAATAACTCAGTGGATCTTTTTCTATATCAGATAGACTAGTGATATTTCTTTTCATGCTTCGCCATTTTTATTTTTTTTAACTCTTTTTTATATTTATTTTTTTATGTGGTGCTGAGGATCGAACCCAGTGCCTCACATGTGCGAAGCAAGCGCTCTGCCACTGAGCCATAGCCCCAACCCTGCCATTTTATTATATTGAGGACCAAACCTTTCAGTTTATTTTGAACTACATATTTTAAAAATTGCTTAAATAAATTTTTGTAAAATACATAACCACGTGGACAGAAGTTATACTTTCATGTAAATCGTTAGCATCCAGAAAAATTGGCACACTTATTATACATTCCAATGAAATCTGAATCTAAACAACCTATTTAATAGTTTTCTTATTATACATTCTCTTCTTCCACGAGGAAGAAGACATGGGGTATATTTCCCCTCAAAAGACAACTAAAAAGATTGATAAAGATTGACAACTAAAGAACATTCTAAGCTAGGCGTAGTCAAGCATGCCTTAATCCCAGCTACTCAGGATGTGAGGCAGGATTACAAGGTTCAGGCCAGCCTGGGCAATATAGTAAGATATCTCAGTTTCATTAAGAACTATGGGTTAGTTCAGTGGTAATGCACTTGTCTACCATGCATGAGGCCCTGGGTTCAGTCACCAGTACTGAAAGAAATGAATATTCTGAAGTGTGAGTGATCATGATTGCTTAAACAAAGAAAAAATTCAAGCAGAGTTCCTGCCTCATTCTGATCCTTTAGAAGTTTTCAAAGTTAACACTAAAACACAACACTTACTACAACCTTCCTATCCTAAAACTTTTGGATAATTATATTCAATTATTTCTAGTCTCATTTTTTAAATCCCTTTTAACTGTCATGTCTGACATATGTCTTATTTTAAGTTACTTTATATCCTTTTTGGAGCCAAGTAGAATATAAATTATAGGTTAATATTCTATTTGAGCAGTTATTGAAAGTAGTGCTATAATTAAGAGGTATGAGTAGATGGATGGGAAGATTTCATTTTCATTTGACTATAAAAAGAAGAAGAATATTATTATAGTACTTATAAAGTGTGTTACATGTTCTAGAAAATGGTAGAGTAGGAAGAATTCTTTTTGAATAGGCTCCAGTTACTCCTGCCTGCCAAGTAGTAGCATATTTTTCTTGAAATTGTATATTTTTACACAAAATTATCCCATATCTCTTTATCTTTTTTTATCTCCAAGATTAAATTGTTCATTCCCTATCTTTAAAGGAAGAATCTGATACACTGACTTACGCTAAAGAGTTTTTTGGGGGAGCAGAGGGGTGCTTGGGATTGAACTCAGGTTTTTGCATATGCTAGACATGTGCTCTATCTCCAAACTACACTTGAAGCCATTACACTGAAGGTCTTGATGATAGCTTCTAACATATCATTCCTCTTTGACTTTGTTAATATTTGAAAAGGTTATGTTCAGAGGTTAGGATACATTAACCTTTTTTTTTTAAAAAAAATTCAATACAAATATTACAGGTAAAGAATATATTTAGCAGAAAGAGCCTGCCCAACACCTGCAAAATTATGTCTGTGCTGGGCCACAACTAATAATTTTCATCGTAATTAGACATAAATGTAGTGAATGCTGACCCAGTGCTAGGTATTGTACTAGCTGGGAAGGATATTAAGGTTTTTAATAATAGCTTGCATATTTTTTGTGCTTCCTGGATCCTGTCCTCAAATAACTCAGGCTAGAAAACTATAAACATGGTTACAAAATGAGATGATAAATTCACTAATAAAAATATGTACAATGTTGAGAGTAATTAGATATTTATTCTGTCAGGGTTATCAAAGAAGTTGTAAACTGAATTTATGTATGAAGAATGAATAGTTGATTAGGAATAGAATGAGATTGGCAGGACTGGAGATGTAGCACAGTAGCAAAATTGCTTACCTAGCGTGTGTGAAGCCCTGGATTCATACCTGGTCCTACAAAATATGAGGTGGGTGGGAGAAAGAATAGTGGGGAGGAATGGGGAACGATTATTTAATGATTAAGAGTTTTGAATGGTAAAAATGTTTTTGGAAACATTACAAACAAAAATTATAAAACATTGTAACTAATGCTACTGAATCATACTCTTTAAATTGGCCAATTTTATGTTATATATAATTTACTACAATAAAATTTAAACTAAAATGAAAAGCTGATATGATTAAGAGTTATTGATATTGTCCATTGGTTCCTGGAAAGTGCCCTGATTTATGATATGAAATGATTAAATGTATATTAAAAAAATATTTGTATTTTATGTTGTTAATCTAACGTACAGTGTATAGTTAAGATGCAGGCTTCTGTGTTTTTTAAAAGATAATTAGTAAATTACTCCATCAGTTCATTTTTCCAATCCTCAGCACCTACCATTGTGCCTGGCATGTACTAAGTCCACATTAAATAAATAATCATAATTATAAATACTTGAGTCAATGGAAAAGCTAAGGAAATACCGTAGACATAACAGCCTAAGGACCTACCAGTAGAAGAGGTGTCTGACAGGAGTAAGTTAATATAAGAAAAGCTTAAGTCTAATCACCACTAGATGAGAATCAATACCAAAAATCTTAACTATTGTACTTTTTGATTAAAAAGTGGGTAAAGTGTAAGGAACAGAAATTTACTTTGAAAAATGGCTAGTGAAACCATTAGAAAACTGGCAGTTTTTAAATTTGGGATTGATTTTGCTGTAATCAGTTCTTGGTAAACCTTTTTTGCCCCTTCTGTCTTTTTTTTTTTTTGTCTATTCTAAACCTCTTAACAGACTTTTATAAGAATGGGAAAGCATTTTGTCTTAAATATCCATTTGATAAATTACACAGAGTGTAATAAACATAGACTTTAAGGTAAAAATTGTTTGATAAAAAGATTTTTTTTGCTAAATTATAATTAAATGTTTCCTCTACCATGAGATAAGTATTCTTCTAGTGTCCTATTATTTAAAAGAAAGGAAAAAGTTGAAAGATTAAATTTAAATTCATACTTGAAAAAGTCTTTAGGAAATAATTATTATTACCATCATTTGAAAAATTTAAGTTGATTTTTTTTTTACAAAGTTCAGCAGTACTCATACCCAACTAATGTATGACTTTCAATAGATTTATAAAGAAAGCTAAATTTAAAAATAGTTACTTTCAACTGGTGGATTAACTATGGTATATCTAAGCAATGGCATTACTCAGCAGTAAAGAGGAATGAATTACACGTTCAACTATATGGATAAATGTCAGAAGCATTTTATATGAAAGAAGTCAGACCTATATGGGTACTACTAAATAATTTCATTTATTTTGATAATCTGATTATGACCTTGACGAGTAAATGAATGAATAGCATTTTGAAGATAAGGGGATTAAATAATTGGACTCTAAGGAGTTATAAAATATGTTGAAGTCATATGGGGAGTGATATAAAGGCTTGAGGTGGAAAGAAATCTGTGAACCAGATGATGACTTCATTCACCAAATGAATGACTGTAGATTAATATGTAGTATGTAATGAGCAGCAGAGCCTTTAAGAAGTATGTTCCAAGTGAATTTGCCCTAGTGATCTAGAAGATATAGTAAATCAAATACTACCAGCCCACTCCCAACCTTAAGGTACCTGGGTAGTAATATCAGGAAAAGCCTTAAGTCAGAAAAGAAGATAGCACTTTCAGAAGAAGGTGAGATTACACTGGGAGTTTAAACTGTGGAACAGTTTGGTAAGAGCACAGGGGAGGGTTTTAGGATAGGAAAAAAGGAGGGCTGCATGAGTGGGACGGAAGAAGAGAATGGAAGACACAGTGGAGTTTAGAATGTCTCTGCTGTTACTTGGAGGAAAATGGGCCTAAGGTCCAGAAAAACTTGTCCCACCATCCATGGTGATTGGTTTCAGCAAATGCAGGCGCAGTTCATGGACTTCAAACTCAGTTCACATAATGATTTCAGTCCCTAAAACTGTAGTCACTAAACTTTTTGGCTAGCCACCGAGTACACAGGTAGTCATTTAGGGTTTTCTTAGTGAATTGAAACCATGTACTTGGTACCAGAGAAAGCCAAAGGCCTCCTTCTCGTTTTCTTTTGACACTGCCAAGGATTGAATGGTGGGTATCACACATCCTAGGCAATTACTTTACCAATGCTCCATCTCCAGGCCTACTTCTCATATTCTTAACTTGTTCTGTGATACATTTAGTTTAGGATTTTGCTCTTTGCTGTTTATTTTCTGTCATGCTACTTGGACTTTAGGAGTGATAAGCATTTAACTGCATTACTAGATGTATATAGGAAAAGAGCTTGATTAGTCACTTAAACCATCTTAAATCAGACGTATTTCCCTAAGTTTTAAGTAAAATAGCTCAGTGGTAGAGCATTCACCTAGCAAGTATGAAGCCCTAGGTTCGATCCTCAGCACCACTTAAAAATAAATAAAATAAAGGTATTGTGTCCAACTACAACTAATAAATAAATAAATATCAAGAAAGTTTTAAGTAAAATATATAATATTAACAGTTTAGCATATTTTAATATAATCGCACAATGCATCCTGTTATAGTTTGTCTAAATTTTAAATACTTTTATTTTGCTGCATTTTATAGTATTTTACTAGCATATTTTATATTCTTTTGAATTCTTTAAAGTAATTTTGATTATTGGTAAATGCTTAGAAATATAAAGTATGACCTATTTTGTTTAGGTTAAAACTGCATTATCTTGGATATAATACCTTGAAATTGTATCGTTGATAAAATTTTAAATAATTATCTTGTGAGAGAAGAAAGTTTCAATTGGTAGAACCATGGTTCTCTTCTGTTAACTTTTTATACGATTTACCAAGAATGTACCATCCGTTAACCACCAGTTAAAGACAGTGTGCCTTTAAAAAGTAGTTCAATTCAGTATTGGGGGAGGGAGTGGGGGAAAATATGCAAAGCGTCCAAGAAGTTGTTCAAATGAGAAAGGAAAGCTTAATACAAAATTTCCTCATGAGGTTGGTGGGTTTGCAGCTAATTTTACAGCTGTGATATATGAAATAAATTTATTTAAAAGAACCTCTTGTTTTTAAATACTTTGGCTTATTATATAGTTCAGTTTTCCAAATGTATACATACCGATCTGTTTAAAATACAGTTTTTGTTTTCATGTTCATAACCTGTAATTTCACTTATTTTTTAACATTTTTTTAACATGTTTCTTACAGGATGGAGGTTTGCTTCTGAATAACCCTTCAGCATTAGCAATGCATGAGTGTAAATGTCTTTGGCCGGATGTCCCACTAGAGTGTATAGTATCCCTGGGCACTGGACGTTATGAGAGTGATGTGAGAAATACTGCAACATACACAAGCCTGAAAACCAAACTTTCTAATGTTATCAACAGTGCTACAGACACAGAAGGTTAGTTTGTTTCTGTTACTTCAAGATACTTCAACTTAGAGTGATTAGTTTTTGGTAGATAGAACTGTTGATCTTAACTTCATATGAGTGTCGTATCTATATTGTGGGCCTAGGAAACACATGGGAATAAGTATTTTGTTTTCCTTTTTCCTCACTTTTATTAGAGTTACCCTAAGTAGAGACTGCTTTCCACCTAGGAGCTGGTGCTCTCTTTGCTTCCTTATAATTGGAGGAATATCACAAAAGCCTGAATGGAGATTCTATAGCCAGTTAAGAAAGCAAAAAGCACAAAAGAAGTCAGATTGGTTCGAATGTACACATAATAATATTGTGAGAGTATTTATGGAATTAGATTATTAGTGATGTGGAGGCAAACTGGAATTAAATAAATTATCGCTTCCTTTCTTCCTGAATCCATTTAAAATCCATCTAGCATGTAAATCAAATCACCTTCCTCTTCAAAACCCCTTAGACTTTCTATAACATGTGGAACAAAATTCAACAGCCTCTCTCTCTGAAATTTATCATACATGCCCTATAAGACCTAGCCTTTGAATATATCTCTTCTTCCTCTCAAAGCCACTCTTTGATTCTTATTATTTCTCAAACTTACTAAGAATCCTTCTGCCTCAGGGCCTCTGCAGATGCTGTACTCTCTTTGTAAGGCTCTTTCCCCAGGTATGTGCTTGACCCTTACTTCATTCAGGTCTCTGCTCAAATGTCATTTCCTCAGAGAGACCTTTCCTGACCACTTGCCCAGCTTCCTACCACGTACCCTGTTTCTAGTCTTCTTTCTTTTGTTTTTTTTATTTTACTCTTGGAGCATTGTTTTATTATGGATATACAATATCATAATACTTATTTGTTTACTTATTTCTTAGTCCCACAAGTATGTGAGGCAAAGGGCTAGAGATGTAGCTCAGTGGTAGAGCATTGCCTGCCATGTGTGAGGCTCAATGTTTAATCCCTAGCAGTTGCTTTGCCTTACCCCAGTTTACCACTGACTCCAGGGCATGGCATGTACTGGGCAGTCGGAGAGTATATTTTGAATTTCTAGTTTGAATTTTGTTTTAACATTCTTTGTAGTACTGTTTCATTTTTATGTGTGTGAAATGCATTATTAAATTTAAAGAATTATCATTTAACAGCTTCTTATTTCTAAATGTCATTCTTTGCATATCAGCATGTTGTTGACTGTATCATTAACCTAAATGAGGATTTTCAACTCCCCACTAAGGTCTTTTATCTTTAAATGAAAACCAACAAAAAGCAGATAAATTCTTATCATCTGAAATTTTATTGTTACATTAATAGGATATTGTTTTTTTCTCAGCTTTATTATAATTGACAGATAAAACTTTATATACTTAAGGTATACAACATGGGTGTTTTAATATAAGTATACCTTATGTAATGATTCGTACAGCCAAACTAATTAATGTATCCATCACCCACAAGGTTACCATTTTGTGGGATGGGCAATGGAAACACTTAAGATCTACTCCCTTAGAAAATGTAGAGCATACAAGATATTATTATTAACTATAGTCACCATACTATACATTTCACTTGTAGAACTTATTATCTTATAAAGTTTATATTCTTTGATCAATATCTTCCCATCCCCAGCCCCCAGGCACCTACCATCCTATTCTCTGTTTCTCTGGGTATTTTAGATTCTATATATGGAATGATATCATGCAATATTTGTTTTCAGTGTCTGGCTTATTTCACTTGGTATAATGTTCTTCTGGTTCATCTGTGTTGTTGCAAATTGCTGGGCTTATTCTTTTTTTAGGCTGAATAAAATTCCACTGTGTGTGGGATAAACAGTGGTTATTTCCATATATTGGTAATTATGAGAAATGTTGCAGCAAACATGCAAATGCAAATATCTCTTCAAGATTGTTATTTAAGGGCTGGGGTTGTGGCTCAGTGGTAGAGTGCTTGCCTTGCCTGTGTGAGGCACTGGGTTCGATTCTCAGCACCACATATAAATGAATGGTTAAAATAAAGGTCCATCAACAACTAAAAAAAAAAAATATTTTAAAAAAAGATTCTTATTTATTTCCTTCGGATGTATATCCAGAGTGGGACTGCTAGATCATATGATGGTTCTAAGTTTACCAGGGATTGAACTCAGGGGCACTCAACCACTGAGCCACATCCCCAGCCCTATTTTGTATCTTATTTAGAGACGGGTCTCACTGAGTTGCTTAGCGCCTCACCATTGCTGAGGCCGACTTTGAGTTCACAATCCTCATGTCTCAGCCTCCTGAGCTGCTGGGATTACAGGCGTGTGATACCATGTCAGGCCTAATTTTAGTTTTTGGAGGAACCTCTATGCTGTTTTGCATATGTCTGCACCAGTTTGTATTTCCACCAACAGTACATGGTGGTTCTCTTCTTTCCACATCATCACCTGAACTTGTTATCTCTTGCCTTTAATAACCAACCTAATAGGTGTGATTTGGTATCTCATTGTGATTTTGTTTTGCATTTCTCTGATGATTCAATAAAATATTCTTGCCATTAGCCATCTGCTGAGACACAGCTTTTAAAAAAATTTTTTTTTAGTTGTTGATAGACCTTTATTTTATTTATTTATTTTTTTGTGGTGCTGAAAATTGAACCCAGTGCCTCACACACTCTAGGCAAGTGCTGTACCACAGAGCCACAACCCCAGCAAGAGACACAGCTTTAATCATCCAGCTTCATAATACTTAATTTAGTACCTCCTGTAAACCATGTCATCAGCCCTTGTGGAATTTTCTAGAAATATGAAATGCTGCTTCAGTGTACTTACACTCTAGTTAATGATACAAGTACATGAATAGTATAATAATGTTAACTTTGAAAAAAATGTGGTAAGAATTTTATTGAGGCATATAATTACTGATACTAGATTGTTATGTCCTGCAAAGACAGTAAATTCATGTGGTTCAACGTCGTATATAATTAATAGGGCCCAGATATTTCCTTTTACCATTAACAATTGGACAAAACAGTTGTTTTCACAAATTAGATGACAGGCAGCATACAAAAGGTATTTCTGAGAGAAAGAAAAATGAATGAGGTAATCATCAAGATTACCCAGCTTGCTACCTGAAAAGTTTTTATACTTAGCACATAGAGGGAGAACCCAAAACAATAGATAATTCTCTTGGAGTTCAGTAAACAGAATTTGGAGTTTAGAGATGTAAAGGAAACAAGAATTATAATACAAGATACCACAGAGAAGCAACTACATAAGTAATAAATAGTGCACCAGAGATAATGCAGCAGAGTCCCTTTGGTCTTTGATCAAGTACTGATCTGTGCATCCATGTGAGGAAACTACTCAAGGCAGAGGAAAGATCCACCAAAAAGGATTAGACAAAATAATACTTGGAGCTCATGTGGAACCAGAATAGCTTTAATTTCCATCAACTAGATTTTCATCAATGAGAAAGGCCTTGTTATACACGGGATCTGTGGTGGAGTCCATAGAAGTAGTAATAGCATCAAATTAGTTCTAGACTAAGAAATGCTTTAGATCCACCCTAGGAAAGCTTAAAAAAAATCAGATTGAGTTCAACTACCATCAAAGCTTAAAAGAAGCCATAAACACACACACACACACACACACACAAATACACATTTAATCCAATTAACATCATCGTTGTTTGACCTAAAAGCCAACAATATATGAAGGAATTCAACAAATTCCCTGTATACAGATATGTAAAACCCAGAATGTCAGGCATTCAGTAAAAAAAAAAAAAAAATGTGTAGGCATACAAAGAAGCAAGAAAAGACAGCCCTTAACCTGGAGAAACCCAAACAAAAATTGGAACAGACCTAAATATTAAACCAATGACAGAATTAGCTGACAAGGATATTATAGTAGCTACTGTAAGCCTTCTCCTTGTGTTCAATAAACTGGAGGAGACAATAAGAAAGGACTTAATTTCTCGAGGTAAAAAATGCAATATCTCAAAATATGCACTTGCAGTTCTCCATAAACACTTGCAGAAAATAGAAGAGGAGGGAATATTCTCTAGCTTATTTTAAAAGACCAGCATGAATTACCCTGATATTAATACATTATATTCTTAAAACCCCAGAAAAACTCCAGTCACTATTTCTCATTAATATGCATGCAGAAATCCATAAAGTATAATAATAAATCTAATTCAGCAAATATATTAAAAGGAAAATACATATAATATGTACAACAAGGGTTCATTTCATGAATATGGGATTGCTTAACAATAAAAAATTAGTGTCATTCACCATCTCAACTAAAAAAGAAAAAACATCCTTTCAGTAAATGCAAAAAAAAAAATCTGATAAAATCTAACATGCATTCAGATAAAAACTGAGCAAATTAGGAACAGAGGGAGCTTCCTCAACCTGAAAAAGGGCATAAACAAAATAATAGAGCTAGCATCATATTTAATGCTGAAAGACTGAATACTTTCCCCACCTAAAACCAAGAACAGAGTAAGAATTCTGTTCTTACCACCTTTGATCTTGAGCAGGTTAAGATTTTTAAAATAGAACACAAAAAGCATGAACCAATAAAGTCAACACTGTTCTAGAAGTTTGTTCCAATGCTATAAGGCAATAAAGGAAAGACACGAGAAGTAAAATGGACAATATGGTTATCTATGTTGATAATCCTAAAGGAATCTATAAAAATGCCACTAAAACTAAAATTGAGTTTAGCAAGTTTAAATAACAAGGTCAATATGCGAAAGTCGGTTGTATTTCTGCATACTAGCAATGAACAATTGGAAACTTAAATAGATATGTACATAGATCAATAGATATCATTTATAATAGCATAAAAATATTAGAGCTGGGATTGTGGTTCAGAGGTAGAACACTTGCCTAGCATGTGTGAGATACTGGATTTGATCCTCAGCACCACATAAAAATAAATAAATAAAATAAAGGTATTGGGTCCATCTACAACTAAGAATATATTTTTTAAAAGCATTAAATACTTAACTACATAACAAATTGTGCAAGACCTAAATATTGAAAACTATACAACATTACTGAGAAATTAAATAAATAAATCAGTAGATACACCATGCCAGTGACTTAAAAATCTCAATATTGTTAAGGTATCAGATCAAAAATTGACCTGTAGACTCAGTGCAGTTCCTATGAAAATCCAAACTGACTTTTGGGGGGCTAAAAATAAACAAATACTATAAAATATATGCTGATGTGCTGGGGTTATGGCTCAGTGGTAGAGTGTTTACCTGGTACATGTGAATCACTGGGTTTGAGCCTCAGCACCTCATAAAAAGAAATATATAAAGGTACTGTCAATCTACAATTAAGAATTAAAAAAAAAAATTTTTTTAAGTATACAGATGTTTTCCAAAGAACCTAGAATAGCCAACACAATAGTGAAAAAAGAAGAAAGTTGGAATACTTATCTTTCCAATTTCAAGACTGTAAGACTATAGTTAGAAAGGAATTGCAGTATTTGAAGAGAGATAGACATGTAGATTAATAGCATATAACATAGTTCAGAAATTGATTCATTATTTAAATTCAGAAGATTTTTGATAACGATGCCAGGGTAACTCAATAAGGAAAGATTTTTCAACAGATGATGAGACAATTAGATACCTGAGTCCAAAAAGTTGAATTTGACCCTTCACACCACATACAAAAATTAACTTGAAATAGGTTATTAGACCTAGTATGTAAGAGGTCTAAATTTCTAGATGGATATGCTGGATAAGATAATTTTTAAATATGTTTTTATAAATTGACACAGTATTGAACACAGTTCAAACACAGTTATAAATGGACACAGTATCAAACCCAGTGCCTCACAGGGCCTCAGACATGCTAGGTAAGAACTCTACCAATGAGTCACAATCCCAGCCCTGGAGAAAATCTTAATGATCTTGAGTAGGTTAAGATTTTTAAAATGGAACACAAAAAGCATGAACCAATAAAGAAACAACAGTTAAATTAGTACTGCGGTTCACCAATTTTGCTTTTCAAAAAAACACTTTTAATAAAATGAAATGTCAAGCCACAGACTGAAAGAAAATATTTGTAAAACCTTGTGTGTGTGAATGTGTGCACACGTACATGCAACATGAAGGAATATCTAAAGAACATGCAATTCAGTGGGGAAAATGTAGGCCAAAGATTTGAAAAGAAACTTCATTGAAGAAAACAAATGACTAATAAGTACACGAAAAGCTTCTCAGCACCATTAGTCATTCGATGAAAATTAAAACCACAAGATATTGCTACTTGCCTTCTAGTATGTCAAAATGGTATGGCCATTTTGGAAGACAATATGGTAGTTCTTAAAAAAAAAAAAAAAAAGTAAACATACACTTTTACCATATGACCCAGGAATTTTATTCCTAGGTTTTTACCCAAGAGAAATGGAATAATATGTCTACACAAAGACTTAAGTGTAAATGTTATTGCAGGATTATTCCTAAAGCTAAAAACTGAAGAGAGCCACAATCAGAACTGAGAACAAAATCTGATAAAACTACATAATGAAACACTTACTCAGCAATAAGAAGAACTGTTGGTATATGATATACTGTGGATGAGTCTCAAAGCATTTTGCCAAGCGAAAGGAGGTAGACAGATCTACAGAATTAGGATTCTGTTTGTATGAAATGCTAGAAAAGGCAAAGGGTAGGGGAGAACCAACTTTTAAGGAACTTGAAGGAATTGGGGGGGGATTGAAATGCCTTGTCATGATTCTTTGCTGTTAAGTTTGTCAAATTATATAGTTAAAATAGGTATATTTTATTGCATATAAATTATACCTCAATAAAGATAATCCTCAAAAATGTTGGAAAGAGAAAAGAGAGTATTGGAACAAGTATCCTAATTTAGCATAATGTATATGGTATTTGGGGAAGATGAATTTCATTTTGAAGTTCTGTTCATTGTTATGAATTCTATATACTCCTACTGTTTGAGTAATAAACAAATCTTTGTAATGGACTTATAAGGAAGATAATTTAAATAATGATGAATAGATCATTGTAGAATAACTCACTCTCTCACCCTCTCTTACCCACCTTTTACCCTCCTTTTTTGTTTTAACAGAAGTCCATGTAATGCTTGATGGCCTGTTACCTCCTGACACCTATTTTAGATTCAATCCTGTCATGTGTGAAAACATACCTCTTGATGAAAGTCGAAATGAAAAACTGGATCAGCTGCAGTTGGAAGGGTTGAAGTATATAGAAAGAAATGAACAAAAAATGAAAAAAGTTGCGAAAATTTTAAGTCAAGAAAAAACAACTCTGCAAAAAATTAATGATTGGATAAAGTTAAAAACTGACATGTATGAAGGTCTTCCATTCTTTTCAAAATTGTGATGAGTGTATGCATATGTTCTGAAAAAGAAAGCCTATTCAGAAGGCCCGCCAGATTCAGTAAGGAATTGTGGTCAACATCAGTTAACTTTGAAATACTTATGAATTCTGGGGAATCCTGAAAATGACAGTGCTTTGAGGAGTTTGCACAGTACAGAAATATGCTTGGTTACAGAATTCAAATGGGAATTAGGTTTTTTAAGATGTTAACAGTTAACTAAGCTTTAGGAATTTTACTATTGTGCTAGTTTTAATAGATGTTGGTGTTAAATTGTTTGATGTTTGAGAAATCATTAATATATGTGCCAAACAAGAAACTGAGAATATCATATTATCCTTTGTATTTTTGCTTAGTCATCAAAATCATGTAGAATTCATGTGATCACTGATTTTCTTTCATGTCAGAAAGTTAATTTCTTCTTACACTTACATATTTTTTCATTAGCTGCATTCTGCAATCCTTTTACTGTACCATCATCTACATATATGCAGAAAGTGGAATTTTCTTTGTTAAAATACTTTTACATTTGAAATAAGAAATAAGCGATACTGTTTTCTATTCAAAATTTGCTTATTTCAACATTGTTTGGTTAAAGAAATAGGTGATGTTCCAATGAGCCACCTTTTCCCCCTGAAATTTCAAGATGATAAATTTGTGTTTACCTTTCTAGATTTAACTTTATCATTTGCTGTTACAAAATTAATTTTTTGAAGTTACTGAGAAAATAGTTCTATCATCAACAAAAATAAATTACTGAAATAATCTATTATTAAAGGGTAATGTCATTTTGAATTTTTTATTGTTCACAGTATAGCTCCCCATTTCTTATAGCATTTGACCCCACCTATGAGCAGTAATACATAAACAAATTGTTGGGCTTCTTACTTCATTAACTCCTTTAACCATCTGGATTTCACAGAAGTTAAAACATTGCCTTGAAACATTGTGCCAAACAGATTCATTTTTGTAGTGTTATTTATTTGCCATGTAAATCATGTCTAGATTTCCCAAGAAAAATAAATGTAAGAACCCTTTGCTTTGTACTTATAAGCTAAAGCTTACCCTGTCGCCCAGATTGTCATATTGCTGCTTTTTAACATTGATTCTCAGAAGCAATGAGACATTCTAAGAGTGCTGGGAGGAGTTGGCAGTATGGATGTTGATGGTGTGTCTGCTGCACAGGCCTTCTGTGACTTTGAGGAAGATGGACAATGTCTCTGGGCTTTAGATATTTTACTTGCAAAAAGAGGAAAGCTAACTCTAAAATTTTGTGACATCTAAATTACTTTGTTTTTAGGCACAGGATAAGTAAGCTTCCAGTGACTGCTGAAAATAATGTAAAATAGCCCTTTCAGATCACAAATATATACAAACTTTTATACAACTAGGACAACTTATAAATGTAAGAAAATACAGATAACTGGAATTATGAATATTTGGGGTGAATTCTTTGTTATAAAGCAAATTTCAAGCACAATAAAGTAAAATTTACAGTGCACGTTTTTATAAGGTCACTCTTTCTGCAACCTGACACACTTCATCTGTTTTGCAGCTGATGTTTACTCTCAGTTCCTTGTTTGTGCTTGGCCAATTATTTTTCTCTTGAAAGGGATAATACACAAGTAAACTCTGGTCGTAGCTTCTTTCTTCAACCGAATAGCATGACATCTACGTAGTAGGTACATCCAGTTGTGTGGTGCACTAGTTTTCAATTGTTCCTGTCCCCATTTGTACTTGAAACTGGTTATCTGAACAACTGTGTAATTCACCTGAGATAACCTGCATTTTATAATGAGGCCAGTGCTTTCTTTGTTGAAAAACAACCCAAAAAGAAGATTCTGTAAATATGCAAGAGAAAGATAGGAAAAGATATTCAAATGAATTTCCAATCCTATACAATGACTGCCATTCTCAAAGAAGCAATGAGGAATAATAATCTGCTTTATGAAATGTAATAAATCCTCCAACTCAATTATATTGAAAAATAGAATAAAAATTATTTTGATGCTCAGGCCCTCCTGGCTGTCTTGTTTATTATTTCTGTAATAAATGATATACTGGAAATATTTCAGTTATGTTCTTGCTGCAGATATTATTCTTTATTAAAAATAGTTCCTTAGATGGAGTTGTCCCTAGAGGCACAGAGGCTGCATGGGATTTCCCTTAGTGGGTGGAGAGCACCCAAGCTGGGTTATAATTATACTGTGTACTTCTTCCCCTCCTACACCACATTTTTATCCAGGAGAAAACAGACGTCAAAGGAATCTTTTGAGAGGGAATGAAGTCACAAAAAGCCTGCATGCAGTCTGAGGGGACAGAGGGGAGCCTTTCAGCTTTGTTTTGATGATAGGGAGGAGCTCCCTTTGAGCTTTTTAACCCCAGAGAGTAGTTACAGCCCCCTCCTTTTCATGTATGATGGAGTTGCTTATTACTGAAGCACCTCGGACCCCTAAAATTCAAATCCCAGAATTTTACCTAATGAGCTTTGCCCTAGAAACAGTTGTACTCAGTTTAGAATATTTCACCAGCCCGAATGTCAGTAGCGTAACTAATAACATAGCTACCTTTTGAGTGGTTACTGAGTACTGGTAACTAGGCTAAGCAGGTTTACAGTTTTAGCATATTTCATTGTCATTACAAGCCTGTGACATGAATATCATTATCCCTTTCTTAGAAAATTTTGCCTGAGATGCCACAGCCAAAAGTGGTAGAGCTAGGACCAATCCATTTCCTTAGCCCCACGTCTGTTCCTCTTTCCTAAAATATCCTTCCTGGAATTGAAATGGACTTGAAATCCATTTTACTAAACTGAATCTGAAGTGTTGAGTTTAATTGTTAAAAAAAAAAATGTACTCCACTCAGTAGATGTCATTTCAATCTTTTTGACCTCAGAGTTGTATTTTAGGGGAAAGAAATTATTTCAACTTAAGTTACGTGCATACTGCTCCTTAAGTCTTTGTTTAACGTGGTTGTCTATTGGCAGTGGTTTTACCCATCTCCCTGAAGGATTTGCAAATCTAGAGCAGGGTAGGGGGAGGAGAGATTTGCCTTGGGGAACTACTAGCATTTAATACTCTAGGAGTCAGAGGAGGTAAATATTATGTAATGCACAGGGCATAGGACAGTCCCTTACAATGAAGAACGCCACCCCAAACACCAACAAATGCAAGTAATAACATTTCTTCTTCCAGATATTGAAGACTACTTTGCCCAAAGTTAGGATGCATGGATCCTTTATAAAATTCCATTCTGGTTCTATTGTAATAAGAATTCTTTTTGTATTTATTGCTCCTTGTTTACCTTCTCTCTCTCTCTCTCTCTCTCTCTCTCTCTCTCTCTCTCTCTGTTTAAATACAACTGAACTGTTCACTGAATTTTACTTATTGAAGCAAATCTATGGTAATTACTCTTTCATGACTAGGAAATAGAAAGGAGGGGGAGCACATTAAAAAAACAGTTTGTTCTGTTGCTGGCAGGAGCTATCCACCATCCAAAAAGATTCATAGAGTACAGATGTCCTTGGGCTAAACAGTTTGCATGTGTTGATCCAAGGTTTGATAAACGTGTCTCTCATAAGTCACACTGATTACTTTGTTTATTATAATCTTCATTCAACTGATGTGAGCAGATTAGAATTCATCACACTCCACAGATATGTTATTCATTTGAATAATTAGTTTATTAAAAATAAAATATTGACTGTAATGTTGACTTACTTTCATGATAAAAATCTTCAACTTAATACAGATTCATTTCTTGTCTCCAGGCAACATAGATTGTGAGGTATATTTGAAAAATTCAGTCTGGTTTAATATGAGCAGTTTGCATGATACGAATCTACATCACATTTAAATTCCTAATTTGTGTTATTAAGGTGAATTTCAAAGATCAAAATAAATGGACCTATTTTATAGAAGAAAAATAGTCAACAGCTGTTACTTGGTACTATTCTTTCTTTTAGTATATACTACTACTATTAAACATGATAAACAATCCGAAAGTCCATCCAATTATTTGGGAAGAAGGGAAGATGATGTCATCTTATTTATGTTGGGTGATTGTGATTCAAAAAAATGAATTTAGTATTATTTTAATTAAATTGGTCATCAAAATAATTTTAAAAGAATGTGCATTTAAAAACAATCCAAATTCCAGGCACTGTTGCCCATGCCTGTAATCCCATAACTTCAGAGGTTGAGACAGGAAGATTGCAAGTTCAAGGCCAGTCTAGGCTGTTTAAGGAAATCCTGTTTCAAAAAGAAAGCAGAACCAGGTGTGGTGGCATGTGTCTGTAATTACAGTGGCTCAGGAGGCTAAGGCAGGAGGATCACAAGTTCAAACCAGCCTCAGCAACTTATCAAGGCATTAAGCAACTTAGCAAGACCCTGTCTCAAAATAGAAATTTTAAAAAATGGATTGGGATTGTGGTTTAGTGATTAACACCCCCCCCGCCCCCACCCTTGTTCAATCCTCTGTACCAAAAAAGAAAGAAGGAGGGGCTGGGAGGTAGCTCAATGATAAAGTACCCCTGTATTCAATCTCCAGTACCACACACAAAGTTTTTTAAAAAATCTGTATTTTGATCAAGCAGAACAGAATATTATATGCCAAGATCCAAAATACACATATCCTTAGTATGCACATATGAATCTTGCAAAGGGAAATTTTTTATTATTCATATTGTTTTGTAATTGGGTCACATCTGGGGAAAAAGTGTTCTAAGATAACAGTTTTCAGTTCTCAGCTTTTGTATTTATTGTAACACATATGAGCATTGCAAGCAATTCTTAACAGTCTCTCAGATTGAAAAAATTAATCAAGCCAGGCACAATGGTGCATGCCTGTAAGCCCAGTGACTTGGGAGGCTGAGGTAGAAGGATCACAAGTTTGAGGCCAGCCTCAGCAACTTAACAAGACCCTTTCTCAAAAAATAAAAAAAAGCACTGAGGATATAGCTTGGTGGTAAAATGCCCCTGAGTTCAAAGCCCAGTAACAAAAAACCAAAATAAAATGTTAAACAAAGACAATTTAATTTTACCTCTCTCTATCTTTCAGATTTAGTCTTAAAAACCACATTTTTTTCCTATAATGCCACTAAAATGGAGCCATTTAAAACTTATTCTATCCCTCAGTCACTGAAACCACATTTTGTAAATCACAGGTGCTGTTATTTTACTGATTTTTGAATGAACATGTTTGGTATCAGGGTATAATTAATCCATACACATCTAAGCATGCCTTCGTAGTAATTTCCTGTGATGAATAATGTGAAAAATGCTGTCTGTGGACACTTAAAACTGTAGAAGCAGTGGAACTTTAGACTATGTTGGTATATAATACAAATACCTATATTTATATGCAAATAGAATGTAATAGGAATTATATGCTACAAGGGTTTTGGTGACTTTAGATGGCATAGAATTTTGTAATGCAGGCTTGTAGAGCATTCTCATTGTTTTCAGTATGGGAAAATGGTGATGTCCTGATCCTTAGACAACATGTGGAAACTTGCGTTGTCCAGTTCATCACAAGCATAATCCTCAGTGCAAATAAAAATAAGAATTTGACACCAACCCTATTTTGAGTAATTTTCACAACTAGATTGTTACCTGGAAAGAAAGAAAGAAAAAAAAAAGTACCTTGTATTCAGAAGAAAGCCAATATAGCAATCATATGAAAATGTCTGCAAAAGTGATGATTCCAATTTTTAAACATATAGCTGAAACTATATGAAAATGAAGGAAATATTCTCATTGGCCAATACATAAATGAAATACAGGTTATTTTTATCTAACTAGATTATGCATTCCCATTTCAATTTGCCATATGCTTCTTAGTAATATCTCATAGCTTCTAGGACACTGCTACATACATTATATGAATTCGTAATATTTTTCTTGAGTTAGTTAGGCTTTATTGAATCATCTGCCTTATACCATTATGAGGAGATAGGGAAATAAAAAATGCTTTAAAAAGTACTTTTTGAGTTCATTTCTTTTTAGAGTCTGAAAAAGGGACTTGCTCCCTGTGCTAGTAGGTAGAATCACAGCTGAGATCTGTTTCCTCAGGGTGAGCCAGGACCCTTTCTAGACTATTAAAAAAAAAAAAAAAATGTGCTGATCACAGGGCCTGTCATTTCCTTTCACCTAGTGCCTGCAGTAAACATCATTCACACCATTTGATGTCTCACATCTTGACAGAGACTCATGCAGCTCTTCTGAGCATAGAATAAAAGCCTTCTTTTGTTTGAAAGGTGAGCTTTTTTTCTCTATTTGAGTGGTATCTGCTTATTCTAAGACCATATTCCTGTTCCTCTTCACTGCAGCCTAACTTGGGATCTTCCTCATCTTGTCAGGTTGAATCTTTTTCTTGGGCTGCCTTGCTGCCTAGATCCTTCCACACATTCTCTTAACACATGGCCAAGTGGGTTCTATCTTCAGTGAACAACTATAATACCACATCTATACACATCACACGTATAATTGTAGTAGCCATTTTCTTTCTAAAACAACTTCCTCGTGTTGTATTCTTATAACTATCCTGTAGCTTTGGCAAGGCCAGCAGTAATTCCACAAAGAACTTGTGAAAATTATGGTACAAAGAAGGCCAAGGTCTGTGTGGGCTCCTCATTACCTTTGATGACTTGCGTGTTCAGTTCCCTGCTCACACCTCTCCAGTGCTTTCCAAAAAATAGCTGGACTTTGTTGGGGGTTTTAATAGGTTTTGATCATGGTGGTAATTTGTGTTCCTTCCCAGTCATTTCATATAAAAGGCATATTTCCGTGAGACTTGCTTTTATTTTTATAAAATGGAAATAACTTGTCATCTAAATGACATTTGTTAAGTACCATTTGTACCATTAGTCTGCTTCTGTATGGCCTTTTAGCATCTCAAAGAGTTTATCCTCTAAAGACACAATGAAGATCTAGGTTACAATAACAACAACAAAAAACAAAACAAAACAAAACAAAAAAACCAACAACCAAACAACAACAAAAACAGGAGATATAGCTC